ACAGGGTGTCAACACACACACACACACACACACACACACAGTCATCACGACACACACACTACACACACACACACAACACGACACACCACAGCACACGGACATTATTTTTGGGTCAATTTGTGTTTATTTCTGCTTTGTCAACTCTATTTTGTTGCCTCTTGGGTTTGTTTGTGATTTTTCTCTTGCTAAATGGCATTTATTGTGAAGCATTTTGTATTTTTTTTTTTTAAAAAGTGCTATATATGTAAATCTTTATTTTACTTACTATTAAAAATAAACCTAGATGGTGTCAAGGGTTATGGTTAGGGTGAATAAATTAGTCACTGTTGAATTTTTCATGTTGACTATTAGTCATTTACTATGTTGAAATCTAAGCTGAAGTTTGAAGATTGTGGTTAACGTCAATAATAGAAAATGATAGAAAAATGTTGCGCAAAATGAACATGATTACAAACTGCTGTACTTCTGTAAGTCTCTGATCTACAGACGAGCTCTCAACACTAGACTGTGGGTTGTCACAGCCAAACAGCTAATAATACTCTACAGGATTCAGTTTCTTTGTGACAATTTTTCAGTGACATTCTTTCCAATCTTATCTGCTTATTTTGACTCTTTTTTTTTTTTGACTGTAACTACAAGTTATAATTTGTACAGGATTCGTCAACAGGCAGATGATCACCGATTATCAGGTAAACAGGAGTGAGATCCTCCACTGCAGAGTCATCTGGCCCATGAATGTCAGAGAGAAACAGACTCCTCTAAAAGCTGCCCCGTGTCTGAGCAGAGACAAGGCTGGATTTATTTTAAACCATGTATGGTTGAGACTAGAAAGAGAAGAAAGAAGAAAAAAAAAAAAAAAAAAAAAGGAGACCAGTGATGGCCAGCTCCTCTGGTGATTTTTTCATTTTTTCCCTAACTGGGGCATTGAAAGTAGGATATTGCTGTCCTTTCAAACGCCTCGTCCCTTCACACTCCACCACCAAGACGTGAACCATTTTCAGCACCTGGTCCCCTTCCTCCGATACAGAAGAAACTTGAGGGCTGAAGAGAAAGCAGTATCTCACTCGTCATGAATTCATTTGGACGAAAAATGGTTAAAACTGTTGAAATACCGAGACGATATGTTAGAAGAATTTCAAAAGGCAAAGTGATCGATACTGTAGAGCCGGGCTATAACTGAGAGGGATCTAACGTATTAAAGCGTTGAATCAGACGGGTTTGTAATTGTAAGCCTGAGGCGAGGGTCGTTCCCTTAGAGGAATCAGCTCCCAGCAAAGGGTGAAAATACTTTTATTGATGAGTGGGGATGGGAAGGGGGTGGTGGGCGTCTGCATCCACTGGAACCTGAAAGGTAATTCAAGGTGTAAAACCTCCTGAGGCTCAGTTATGTGGACGCAAACTCCGCTCTGGTGAAATGTCTGACATTGCCGTGTACATACGGCAGTGAACTCGGTTCAACCAGAGAGAAACCTTGAATTAAAAGCTTTGCAGGGGAAACGCCTGCAGCACAAGTCACGTCAAAGAATGATGAAGTGTGTTAGTCTGGCCTCTCTAACTTGTCCTTCTTTTCCTGGGTACTCTTCAAAAACCAAGGAATGAAGTGTGTGAAAGCGACGGCCCAATCAAAACCAGCATGACCTTCCTCTGTCAGAGAAAGATGTGCAAGCTGTCGTTACTGAAAGCAACAGATTGACAGACTGTGTCCCGTCAGCTTCACCTTGTTCTTTTGTTTGAGAAAAGCTTTTCTTCTGCAATAACCCGAGTTGTGAGTTTCTTGTTACAAGAGCTTCACAGCTCCAGCATTGATAATTAGGTGTGACCCTTAACCATCAGCTTCGGCCCTGCAGGTTCCTACATAATGAACAAGGACTTGGCTGAACACAAAGGCCAAAGGACTTCAGGAGCCACAAGAGGGAACAACTACTTTCAGTCGTTTACTCAATAATGCTTGAATTGCTTTTTTGGCCCAATTTAATTTCTCATTAACCAACTGTGTCTCATCTTTGAACTGATCTTTTTCTACGTGACAACTCTGCTATCTAGAAACAGCACTGGACGGCCACTGAGGGCAATGTTTCTAAAAAGTTTTAATCAATCCATCCACCCAAACCACTTATCCTGTTTGGGTCTGTTACGGGTCTAACGCACACCCATTGGGCAAATTTTAAAGTTTTGTAATATCACCTTTTGACAATGGAGAAAATGTTCTGGAATTTCTCCATCTCCACCTCCATAGAGGATCTGGGTCTACTGATCGATTTACATTTATAATTTCATTTTCCACTGACATAACTGCTGTGTCATCTTTCTAACCCGAGCCCCTGTGTTGTCAGTTTTCTGTGTGTTTATACAGTAATATTTGTTCTGATACTCAGTAAACTAAACTCGAAGTATTTTCATGAGACAGTTTATACGAGACTAAAGTGTTATTTGAACGACCAAACTGAAAAAAAAAAAACCTTTCAAAGAAATCTCTGTTCACTTACTTCAACCAAAATGGAACATTTTGACCGATTGTTGAGTTTTATGTAACATTTGGACAAAGTGGGTAATTTTTACAGTTTGTTCTTTTAGGTATCAACTATATACAAAAACTTCCAGGAAATAATTGGAAAAATATCATTTTTTTACAGCTGATATAAAACTAATGCTTTGGACTGTACACATTCACACACAAATATCTCTTACAGCGCTTTTCTTCCTACACATTTAGTGCTTTTCAACCATACCACAGACACACCACACACTGATGATACATCGGGGTCAGATTTTGGGGTTCAACTTCAAAATGCGAACTGGTGCTCTACCCTCACCGCTGTGTGTCTGCTGTTGTAGCAAAAAGCAGCTCTAAACCATTAGGTTTATAAAAGCGACACTCTGGCACTTAGCATCCATGTAGTGATTTCTAAGTAAAATCAGTTTTAATTATGACAAGACATATTTAATTACTTTAGGACGTGAAAGCAATAACACTTTTCTATCTCTGCTCACTGATGAACTACTGAGGTTTGTCATTTATGCAAACACACGGAATTTTGTTATCTTGCAGTTGTGAACCTACTAATTGCAGCAGTTTGGCTTCGGAAAATTAAAATAATCTGTTCCGAGTAAATGCTGTGGTCATTGTTTGCTGGCTGTTTGGGGAGATGGCTGAGAGCATGAAGCTCTGGGGTGTGTTTGCATTTGAAATGAATATTTTTGATAAAGGCTAATTCAGTGCTCAGGGAAAACACACTTACCACAGAGCACCGTCAATGTGCCCTGGTGCCTGAGTGCCAGACCTGAATACAGTAGAGGCCCACCTGTTCTCGCAGCCTCTCCCGTCTCCTCCTGATACGCTGCCAGCTGCTTCTTCCACTGCTCCACATTAGCATTCCCTCGTGCAAGCTGCCCACCATAGCTTGGAGTTGCTGTCCTGCAGAGTGAAGAGCTCAAGCTTCCAGGTTTCATCTCACAAATGGACCTGAAAACACAAACACAAAACCTTAAACAAGTGATACACATTAAATGATGCATATCTTATCTTATGATATATGGCTTATATGGCACATAATTATTAACACATATTGAGGCACATGGACGAGGAGTCCTTGAAGTGACTCAGAAAAAGATGTGTATTTGAACATTTATAATTTTGATAGGATAGGAAAGCTCTCTTCTGACTATAGGTTTAATTTCACTAATTATAATTTCTCGCACTTACAGCTGCTTTGTTTGTTCTTTGACTGGAATGAAACCTGCCACATCTTGTCATACCAGGGCAGGTAGGGCCATCTGAGTTTACTGTTAAAACCTGAGTCTTGTTTAAACATAGCAACATGAGGCTGAATACTAATCGCTTGTTTGTGGTACAGTAACAGCCAAAGTTTCCCGCTGCCAAAATTTGGAACAATGATGAAACATGCTGGCCTGTTTTAACACGAGCACCAAGCCTCTGGAAACACAGTTTTAAGGAGGTTGAACGTGGGCTGCAGCCTGCAGCAGCAAACCTACGGCCAGCAGGGAAGGTCATTTTACAGGTCTTGTTACAAAGCAAAGATACACTCATTAAAAACGCCCAAACAAGACCAAACAGTATCCTGGAGGTTGACTATTCGAAAGTCATCTTTGTTAACAGACTCAAATGCAAAGGCTACTTTTTACAAAGACATTAGAGTAACTGACAATGTCTTAACACAAGCTGGATCATCAAATTTAAGACATTTGTGAGCATCAGGGAACAAAGAAGTAGAGGATAGTGCTGTGCTCTTTGACCAAGATGATTTGACGTTAGGAGTCTCTTTTTGTGTAGTTGTTTTCCCATTAACAAATGATACTTTCCTGCTGACCTTGGTTCCCCACTACATTCATTTATATAAAGCCGTTTATAGCTGCACTACTGTACATGTCACTTGATTGTAAAAATACATAGGAGACATATGAGATCAATAAACGTGATCCATTTCTATCTTTTTTTTCTACAATCTGCAGAAAAGTATCAGCTGCTCTTCATCTCCGAGCCCTTCCGCTTCGCTCTTATCCCTCTACATCTGCAAAGCTTGAGGTTGTCACATGGCAACAGTTTCACCATGGTAACTATTCAAGAAGCACTTTCTGTGTAATAATTGAACTGTAGGGATGTAAAAGCATTGTGTGTGGCTCAAAGGACTGAATGAAGGGGGTGTTACAAGCCTTATTTGATGCTATGTGTGAGTCACCTCAACAGTGGCCTCTTCACTGTCCCAACTGAAGCTTAAACAAATGGAATCACCACGCCTCAATGCTGGAAGGTGGATGGTAAAAGTAACGGATTACCTGTGTAAATGCAATCAATAGTAATGATCCACATGAAGATCTGTAAAACCTCAGCTTAAGTTCAGCTGGTGTTAAAATTACCGTAGGTGGACAGAAATCGTGTATTTTCCAACACTGGCAGTGTGAAGACTGGTCCCATGGTGAAGATGAACTTTGTTCTGTTAGAGAATGAACTATTGTGCAATATAATGTTGCAAATGTACCAAGAGGATCTTTAGTCTTTCAACAAATCCCGACACAATTTAAAAAAAATAAACATAAACACACACACACACACACACACACACACACACACACACACACACACACACACACACACACACACACACACACACACACACACACACACACACACACACACACGGACAGACGTTGGGTCACTCTCAGATCCACACAGAATTCTTCAAAGATTAAAGTCAACATGACATTTACATAAACTTAGTTATTCCCAATAAGGCACTTCAGACTCTCAGGTCAGCTAACCAGTGTCTACTGGATGTCCGCCCAAAGTCTGAAATAGTTTCCATCTCACTATTAGGTCATCCAAACCAATTGATTTATTTTTGATGGTCAATTTGATGTTATTTCTGCTTTGTCAACTCTATTTTGTTGCTCTTGGGTTTGTTTGATATTTCCTTGCTAAATGCATTTATTGTGAAGCATTTTGTATTTTTTTTTTTAAAAAGTGCTATATATGTAAATCTTTATTTACTTACTATTAAAAATAAACCTAGATGGTGTCAAGGGTTATGGTTAGGGTGAATCAATTAGTCACTGTTGAATTTCATGTTGACTATTAGTCATTTACTATGTTGAAATCTAAGCTGAAGTTTGAAGATTGTGGTTAACGTCATAATAGAAAAATGATAGAAAAATGTTGCGCAAAATGAACATGATTACAAACTGCTGTACTTCTGTAAGTCTCTGATCTACAGACGAGCTCTCAACACTAGACTGTGGGGTTGTCACAGCCAAACAGCTAATAATACTCTACAGGATTCAGTTTCTTTGTGACAATTTTCAGTGACATTCTTCCAATCTTATCTGCTTATTTTGACTCTTTTTTTTTTTTGACTGTAACTACAAGTTATAATTTGTAACTAGGATTCGTCAACAGGCAGATGATCACCATTATCAGGTAAACAGGAGTGAGATCCTCACTGCAGAGTCATCTGGGCCCCATGAATCAGAGAGAAACAGACTCCTCTAAAAATGCCCCCGTGTCTGACAGAGACAGGCTGGATTATTTTAAACCATGTATGGTTGAGACTAGAAAGAAGAAGAAGAAGAAAAAAAAAAAAAAAAAAAAAAAAAAAAAAAAAAGGAGAACCGAGTAGATGCCAGCTCCCTCTGGTGATTTTTCATTTTTTCCTAACTGGGGCATTGAAAGTAGGATATTGCTGTCCTACAAACCCCTCTCCCTCTCACACCACCCCAGAGACGTGAACCATTTTCAGCCACCTGGTCCCCTTCCTCCGATACAAAGAACTTAGGCTGAAGGAAACAGTATCTCACTCGTATGAATTCATTTGGACCAAAATGGTTAAAACTGTTGAAATACCAGACGATTGTTAGAGAATTCAAAAGCAGTGATCGATACTGTAGAGCCGGGCTATAACTGAGAGGGATCAACGTATTAAAGCGTTGAATCAGACGGGTTTGTAATTGTAAGCCTGAGGCGAGGTCGTTCCTTGAGGAATCAGCTCCCAGCAAAGGTGAAAATACCTTTTATTGATGAGTGGGGATGGGAGGGGGGTGGGGGCGTCTGCATCCACTGGAACCTGAAAGGTAATTCAAGTGTAAAACCCTCCTGAGGCTCAGTGTATGTGGACCAAACTCCCTCGTGGTGAAATGTGACATTGCCGTGTACATACGGCAGTGAACCGGTTCAACCAGCAGAGAACACCTTGATTAAAGCTTTGCAGGGGAAACGCCTGCAGCACAAGTCACGTCAAAGAATGATGAAGTGTGTTACCGGCCTCTCTAACTTGTCCTTCTTTTTCTGGGTACTTCAAAACCAAGGAAATGAAGTGTGTGAAAGCGACGGCCCAATCAAAACCAGCATGACCTTCCTCTGCAGAGAAAGATGTGCAGCTGTCGTTACTGAAAGCAACAGATTGACAGACTGTGTCCCGTCAGCTTCACCTTGTTCTTGTTTGAGAAAAGCTTTTCTTCTGCAATAACCCGAGTGTCTGTTCTTGTTACAGAGCTTCACAGCTCCAGCATTGATAATTAGGTGTGACCTTAACCATCAGCTTCGGCCCTGCAGGTTCCTACAGAATGAACAAGGACTTGGCTGAACACAAAGGCCAAAGGACTTCAGGAGCCACAAGAGGGAACAACTACTTTTCAGTGTTTGACTCAATAATGCTTGAATTGCTTTTTTGGCCCAATTTAATTTCTCATTAACCAACTGTGTCTCATCTTTGAACTGATCTTTTTCTACGTGCAACTCTGCTACTAGAAACACGGCACTGAGGGCAATGTTTCTAAAAAGTTTTAATCAATCCATCCACCCAAACCACTTATCCTGTTTTGGGTCTGTTACGGGTCTAACGCACACCCATGGGCAATTTAAAGTTTGTAATTCACCTTTTGACAATGGAAGAAATGTTCTGAATTTCTCCATCTCCACCCTCCATAGAGGATCTGGGTCTACTGATCGATTTACATTTATAATTTCATTTCCACTGACATACTGCTGTGTCATCTTTCTAACCCGAGCCCCTGTGTTGTCAGTTTTCTGTGTGTTTATACAGTAATATTTGTTCTGATACTCAGTAACTAAACTCAGTTATTTTCATGAGACAGTTTATACGAGACTAAAGTGTTATTTGAACGACCAAACTGAAAAAAAAAAAACCTTTCAAAGAAATCTCTGTTCACTTACTTCAACCAAAAGTGAACATTTTGACCGATTGTTGAGTTTTATGTAACATTTGGACAAAGTGGGTAATTTTACATGTTTGTCTTTTAGGTATCAACTATATACAAAAACTTCCAGGAAATAATTGAAAATATCATTTTTTACAGCTGATATAAAAACTAATGCTTGGACTGTACACATTCACACACAAATATTCTTACAGCGCTTTTCTTCCTACACATTTAGTGCTTTTCAACCATACACAGACACACTCACACACTGATGATACATCGGGGGTCATTTGGGGTTCACTTCAAAATGCGAACTGGTGCTCTACCCTCAACCCGCTGTGTGTCTGCTGTTGTAGCAAAAAGCAGCTCTAAACCATTAGGTTTATAAAAGCGACACTCTGGACTTAGCATCCATGTAGTGATTTCTAAGTAAAATCAGTTTAATATATGACAAGACATATTTAATTACTTTTAGGACGTGAAAGCAATAACACTTTTCTACCTCTGCTCACTGATGAACTACCTGAGGTTTGTCATTTATGCAAACACACGGATGTTTTATCTTGCAGTTGTGAACCTACTAATGCAGCAGTTTGGCTTCGGAAAATTAAAATAATCTGTTCGGAGTAATGCTGTGGTCATTGTTTGCTGGCTGTTTGGGAGATGGCTGACATGAAGCTCTGGGGTGTGTTTTGCATTTGAATGAATATTTTTGATAAAGGCTAATTCAGTGCTCAGGGTAAACACACTTACACAGAGCACCGTCAATGTGCCCTGTGTGCCTGAGTGCCAGACTGAATACAGTAGAGGCCCACCTGTTCTCGCAGCCTCTCCGTCTCCTCCTGATACGCTGCCAGCTGCTTCTTCCACTGCTCCACATTAGCATTAGCCTCGTGCAAAGCTGCCACCAGCTTGGAGTTGCTGTCCTGCAGAGTGAAGAGCTCAGCTTCCAGGTTCATCTCACAAATAGACCTGAAAAACACAAACACAAAACCTTAAACAAGTGATACACATTAAATGATGCATATCTTATCTTATGATAGTATGGCTTATATGGCACATAATTATTACACATATTTGAGGCAACATGGACGAGGAGTCCTTGAAGTACTCAGAAAAAATGTGTATTTGAACATTTATAATTTTGATAGGATGGAAAGCTCTCTTCCTGACTATAGTGATTAATTTCACTAATTATAATTTCTGCACTTACAGCTGCTTGTTGTGTCTTTGACTGGAATGAAAACCTGCCACATCTTGTCTACCCAGGGCAGGTAGGGCCATCTGAGTTTACTGTTAAAACCTGAGTCTTGTTTAAAACATAGCAACATGAGGCTGAATACTATCGCTTGTTGTGTAGTAACAGCCAAAGTTTCCCGCTGCCAAAACTTTGGAACATGATGAAACACTGCTGGCCTGTTTAACACGAGCACCAAGCCTCTGGAACACAGTTAAGGAGGTTGAACCGTGGGCTGCAGCCTGCAGCAGCACACCTACGGCCCAGAGGGAAGGTCATTTTACAGGTCTTGTTACAAAGCAAAGATACACTCATTAAAAACGCCCAAACAAGACCAAACAGTAATCCTGGAGGGTTGACTATCGAAAGTCATCTTTATTAACAGACTCAAATGCAAAGGCTACTTTTTACAAAGACATTAGAGTAACTGACATGTCTTAAACCAAGCTGGATCATCAAATTTAAGACATTTGTGAGCATCAGGGAACAAAGAAGTAGAGGATAGTGGCTGTGCTCTTTGACCAAGATGATTTGACGTTAGGAGTCTCTTTTGTGTAGTTGTTTTCCCATTACAATGATACTTTCCTGCTGACCTTGGTTCCACATACATTCATTTATATAAAGCCTGTTTATAGCTGCACTTACTGTACATGTCACTTGATTGTAAAAATACATAGGAGACATATGAGATCAATAAACGTGATCCATTTCTATCTTTTTTTTCTACAATCTGCAGAAAAGATCAGCTGCTCTTCATCTCCGAGCCTTCGCCTTCGCTCTATCCCTCTACATCTGCAAAGCTTGAGGTTGTCACATGGCAACAGTTTACCATGGTAACTATTCAAGAGCAGCTTTCTGTTGTAATAATTGAACTGTAGGATGTAAAAGCATTGTGTGTGGCTCAAAGGACTGAATGAAGGGGTGTTTACAAGCCTTATTTGATGCTATGTGTGAGTCACCTCAACAGTGGCCTCTTCATGTCCTCAAGAGCTTAAACAAATGGAATCACCCGCCTCACTGCTGGGAAGGTGGATGTTAAAAGGTAACGGATTACCTGTGTAAATGCCATCAATAGTATTGATCACATGGAATCTGTAACAACCTCAGCTTAGTTCAGCTGGTGTTAAAATTACCGTGGACAAAATCGTGTATTTTCCAAACTGCAGTGTGAAGACTGGTCCCATGGTGAAGATGAACTTGTTTGTTAAGATGACTATTGGTGCACTATAATGTTGCAAATGTCCAAAGGATCTTTAGTCTTTCACAAACCCGACAACAATTTACATCATGTCTCAACAATGTGAATCCTAAATGCCAATGCCAGTACATTTAAGCTTCATATTCAGCGCACAGTCACATGAGTGGCATCAATCTTCTCATCTTACTCTCGCCAAAAAAATGAATAAATGAATTACCCAAAAATGTTGACTTACTCTTTTAATGATAATACACTGTAGAGTAATTCCACACATTTAACAAAAACTTCTTAAGACACAGACCATTTTCTTAAAATTTACTGGAGCTTTCAGCGACATCAGGGGTTTGCTCAGACGTCGTGGAGGATGGTTAGGTCATGTGACAGCAACTTAACCGTCTCCATGACAACTGAGCAGCTCCATCCACTGATGAAAGCTAAGAGACACATGTTTGTGGGCGATGGATAAAGCGAGAACATTTTACATATGAAAGGTTTAACCTCTTGTTTCTAATCAGTGATCAACTGTTTGAACAGAAGGTGAGATTGGACTCACATCAGAGGAGTTTGTGGTCTCTTTGGTTTCTATTATGTTGGTGCGTGCGTGCGTGCGTGCGTGTGCGTGCGTGTGCGTGTGCGTGTGTGTGTGTGTGTGTGTGTGTGTGTGTGAGAGAGAGTGTTTATAACTTGGTTACCCTTCAGAGAGCATCTTTTTAATACGTTCCTTCTCAGAAGACAGGGTGATGTCCGCGCTCTGGCTGCGGAACAGCTTGTCCTCCGGTCCGTTCACACACATCACAGGTGGAGACTGGAGTTCATCAGAGAGGTCCTGAGAAACACATCAGTAAATGTACTCTCCTAATAACACACATCATTATAACAAAGCAGATTATTGAGAGAGGAGACAAGCTGCTCATGAGAACTACTTTTAGTCCAGATATTTTAATTAAACACATGCAAATAAAGTTAAAATATAGAGCAGAACTACTCCTAAAAAAAACTTTAGACAGATTTTCAGAGTGTATTTACACACATATTGTATTCTTTTGTGCTTTAAATGACAGTTTCTGTTTCGCATGGTGCCAGATGATACATAGTCAAAGCAATAATGGAAGACTCACCTGTGAGAACTAGAGAGGAAATCCATCAGGTAGAAAAACAGACAAAGAAACATATCAACACAAGGCACACCATACATAATGACCTTTGCAGAATATCACAATCAGAGTCATACTTGGCTGTATGATCAGTTACTGACACTTAGCAAGAATCAAGTACAATTAATTGACGTAGTTGGCAATTTTCTGGAGCTTTGGCTTCTCCGATGTGTTCATTAAATCGATAAAGACGTGGAGTGAGAGACATCACTTGGAATCTGTTCAGCTGTAGAATTGAAAGGAAATGGGTATGTTCCTCATGACCAAGCAGATGTGACTGATGGGTAATTATTCTCTATTGATCAAAAGAGCCCTGAGCTGATTACATTTTCATCATTACAGTGTTTGAGACGAAGGCTCAGTAGCAGTGGGTGGAGAAAATGCGGATGAGGTGCACTGCTGAGCAGCACGGGATAATTTTACCACCGTCCTAGTTTTCCTCACTTTCACTTCCCTCCGAGACAAGTGACCCAGCTCATCTTTCCCTTGCCTTTCTTTCCTTTCTCTCCATCCCTCCTTTGAGTCAATCACAGCGGCCCTGTCTAATAGCTGAACTGCTGCAGAGTAACACAGGTGTATTCATCTAACCTTGGCCTGCGCTCGCAGTGTCTCCCCAATCCCAAAATGCCAAAAATGCGTGGCTGGTTATTTCTGTGTATCATGACAAATTTTTCACATTTACACTCTCTGCTTGATACCTGCAGAGTCTCGCTCTACTTTCATGTTTTGTTCATGTTGTTCTCTAAAAAGGGCAGAGCTCACCTGAGGAGCAGCGATGCTCAGCGCTGTGTTGGCCAGTTCTTTATCCTGCGACTTTTCTCGCGCCAGACGAGCTGCATCTTTCACCTCCTTAAACTTCTCTGAAAACTTTTCAAAAGGGTACAAGTGATAAACCGGTTAACTGTTTCACTCGTTAATCACTGGAAATGTACGGTGAGTGAAAAGGGAAGTATTTTTCAGTGCTTTAACTTTGGTATCATTTACCTGGTGCAGCTGTTGTTCCGTAGCAAAACCCAGACCATAGACAGTGTTGGCCCTGCTGTCAGCCCACTGACCAAACTTCTGGGACGTCTTGGTGAACGTCATGCTGGGTGTAACAGTGCAGTTGATAATTGCCTGCAGATGCAGAGATAAAAAAACGGATCATCTCATAAGAGATCCAGAGGATTCTGGGAGTTTAGACGCATAAAACAAACAAACAAAGTCTTAGTGAGTGAGAGCGTCAGAGAAATGTGACGGCGATGTAGTTTTTTCTTTTTGCTAAAGGGAGAGTCATCGGGAGAGGGTCAGAAACAGAGCAGTTGGGATTTGTTAATATAATTTTGTTGTTTGCTAAAAATATGTCCTTTTGGGACATTGGGGGAGGCTTTTTTCCTAAGTCAAGGAACGTTGGAGAGGCTCTTGCTTTTTTAGATTCAGAGATACTCAATAGTTCCTAACCTCCATGTTTTAGCTAATTTTTTCACAACACTTGGCCTGTTTCAGACACCGTGACACTATAGCATCTTCTGTGCGCACTAGTCTTTTTCTTTTTTTTGTTTGATAAATTCTTTACTCTTGAACAGGAAAGCAACAGCAAAATGTAAAGAAAAAAATATACTATGATGACTTAAACATAAAATATTAATTCTTTTTTTAAACAGTTCTTCCCTGATCGACATATTTTCCATTTTACATCTGGTTAACTGCAGAAATCACCAGTTTTATTGAATTATCTACCTAAAAATGTCTTCTTTTTTTGGGGGGGGGAATAAAAGTTTAAACAGATGCATCGTAATTTGATTATTTCACCTGCACAAACCTCGTCAACACTGAGATAACATGATGTTTCACATGTTTGCTAGAAAAGTGAAGAACACAGGAAAACATTTGTGCTTACTGTGACATTTGTGGAGCATTAATTCTCCACTAGGATCACTGGCTATCAGCTATTTTCAAGCTCTTTCTCCCTTGAGACATGTTTGTTCTTTTAAAAGCGACTGTTTTGAACATGATCAAAAACCAACGTTCTGCCACATCACAAGCGCTTATTGTTCAAAGCGAGAGCAGAGGAAAATTTCAATTATATTTCTTCCAAAAAGATGGGCAGCAGTAAAGTTACACAAACAAGGCAAATCCACCAGGTTCATCACCTCATTGTCAGGGAAGTGGCTGAAGCCACCTCTTTCCCCCTGAGCACACGAGAAAAAAATATTAGAACAGACCTATTTATAAACCTCTTTACGTCATCCCCAGCGTTACAATAATGGGACTGATTTAAAATCCTGGACTTACAGGGCAACAGCAGCTTGGGAGGACGCTTTTTCCTCCTTTTTCTCCTCAAACAAATGATTACATGAACTCTACAGTCGGCATTTCTACGGTTTGACATAACATGTTGGACGGTGGCAACAGCAGTGAAGATTATTCTGGAGGCAGACACCAGTCCTGGCAGGATTGGGCTGCTGAACGACCAACTGCCGCCCCGCACTGCCTTCTGGGAGGCAGAAATGTGGGTCAGACCAGAGGTGCTAAGAAGAGATCAGATAGACCTCCCCCCCTCCCTCCACTCCAACGCTTGATGTGGCCTCTTCCCCATAATCTAAATCCACAGGCCTGTGAGACAGACGCTTGGACTGCTGATTTGTTAAAAGTCACCTTTATTGCACATTTCTTAACCTCACAGAGGAAACTCAATGTGAAGCTGCTGTTTGTCCCGTTTTGTTTGGCCTCTGGCTTTGTTACAAATACTGAAAAGCCTCTCTTGATGTCAAGGGCCACCAGCCTCATTGTAGTGTAACACTACTTTGAGAAAATCCCTCAGAAACACGTGTTTAATCATGAAATATACATCATTTACAATGCGTGCAACTACGAAAGTGTGGAACCATATTTTTTTTTTCTCACCTTGGTCCCACCCACACTGATGATGCGGTAGACATTACGGTTGGCATCATAGAAGAAGGACACGGTGACGGCATGCTTGCTGGCTGGGATCCAGTTCCTCTTGGTGGCAGGGTCGATCTGGAAAACATGGGCCCGGGCGCTGAAGATCGGCTGCTCCCTGGAGGAGGAAACACGGGGGTGGTGATGAGATAGGATTTTTGATTGGGAATGTCAAAGTTCAAATCTTCAGGTCAATTAAATATGATTTATGTGACTGAATATACTGTTGTAAACTCTACAAAACAAGACAAAAATCTTTTTGCATGGACTAAACTGAACATTTCAAACTTGTTCCATTAAAGCTCATTATTGTGCAATCCTGTTCATTTTTTGTCTCGCTTTTGCTTAAAATAGAAATCCTTGATTATTTTCATAATGAGACATCTCCGTCTGTCTGTCTGCCATCCAGGGACAGACGCTGGAATCATCCTTTGGCTCGCTCCTACACTTTTTCCTGCGTCATTCAGCAGCCGCCATACAGGGCTGTGACTTAACTGGCAAATGATGTTGACTAAAACGCTCTGAACCGTCTCCAGAGTCGTTCACCCTCCACCCTCAGCTCTGCTCCTGGCAGTGTTTGCAGAGATGTTTCCTGGATACGAGGTAAATACATCAAAGCAACAAAGTCACTGGTGCTGCGAGGTGGTTTAGCCACCGTCATGTGGTATGAATAGCAAGACTGCTAAAGGTCTTTCTCTTCCCCTCTTCAGCCGGAGTCAGCCCAGGCCAGGCAGGACATTTACAGCACTGAGTATTCCCAGACTTTAAATATAAGATAAAGCAGAGTACATATGACATAATGCTGGCAAAGGTTTTGTCTAACTATCTAAGTATGTGACCAAATTTCACTGCTGAAATTTTGACCTCATGATGGATGAAAAGTCACCAAAGTTATTCCTATTCACTCTGACATGAATCAGTGTACCAAATTTCATGAGACATCCAATAGTTTTCACTAGAGATAAAAAAAATATGAACCACGTGATGTCACTGGATGAAAAGTCAGGGGATCGCCAAAGTCATTACGGTTAATCTTCCAGACACTATGGATATCTGTACCAAACACCAGGGCAACCCATTCAATATGTAGACCAAATAGATGGACTGACACATTAACACTGCCATTCCTAGAGCCACAGAATAAACCATTGACAAGGTCCTAATGCAGGGCCACTTGTCTTTGAAATGTCCAATTGAGGCAGATTATTAACTTCAATCCTGATGTGACGATACCAACATCGATTAGACATCTCAAGGATTTTAATATCAGGACAAGATGCTGCTGTTCTTCACTCGTATCTTTGCTGCTCGCCTCCTTCTCACCTACATGTTCTCCAAAAAGCCCAATTAAAGTATGAAATGGTTAAAACCAGGACACCTCTTCTTCTATGCAGTGTTGTAAATTGCTGTGGCTGTTCCCAGTAGAACGGTGTGATTTTGGCCAGTCACTGTGCATTTATATCTGACCCCATTAGTGACACACAAATCCAGTATTGGTCTCTGTGTGTCTTCTCGCCGTAGGAGATCATGATAAAAGGGAAATGTTACGCGGACTGGCGCATGCAGCGTTTCAAGGACTGACTGTGGAGATGTTGATATGAACAGTTGCATTTTGACGGCACTCCAGTGTCATAATAACCTGCGCTATAAGTCTTCTCATCTCGCAGTAATCCCCCCTGTTGTCACTGGATCTGCTGCTTAGTTTCCACAACCACTGATACACTGGTCTGAGGTCTGACTGGGACAAGACACTAAGATGATTGCAGCCTGTTTGAAGCTCTTTCTAGTGATAAGTATCTGCTTAGTGTGTGCATTTGAATTTGACTTTTACTACTTTTAGATAATGCAATAACTTTAATTTATAGCAATGAAGAAGATGGCAGGCTGACATACAGTTCATTCTTCAAGTCGAAACAAGGAAGCTGTATAACTTAAAGCCGCCTGCCGCGCTGTGGAGATTTAGTGTTATACATCCATGAAGTTGCTGTACTTCAAAAATACAGGAACCCCTAATCTTTCAAACTCCATGTCCCCAGTTTATAATGCTGGTTTTCTGTCAAATATTTGAAGTCTCAAGTCAAACCCAAGATAAAAGATAAAATAACACTTTAAAAAGCTTGCCTCAGAGACCTTACAGACCTTAAATGACCTTGTATGAAACTGGAGGTATGTCCCTTTAACTGCAGAAACATCCACCCGTATGAAAACACTTTAGCACTGCACTCATCTAGACAGGAGTCTGTCTCCTGATGGTACAGCTGAACCAGAGATATCATCTTTTTCACTACAAACATTCCTCTTCCTTGTGAAAACATGACACCTACATTACCCACAATGCAACTTTACTGCCAACAGTTAGGTCAGGGATTATGTTAGTGGTGGATACTTTAGCCCCGTGCTACTAGTCTGAAACAAAGCTGAGGAGCATTTTCAATCTAATAGTCTTCAAACCCGACACTGCCTCAAGTGACATCACTTGTGGCACTTGAAGACTTCATGCAGCCCCCTCTGGAGCCACAAAAGACTTTATACCACTTTTTACAAATATGCAGTAGTCCTCCCCAAGACCCGTTTTTGATGAGGCTGCCCTTTAACTCTCAACCATCACATGCATTTAAGTTACATAAAGATAGAGTATTTTACTACAAAAACATTAAGATTTCCCTGAAAATATAAGTAATGTAATTATTCTATTGAGTCCAGCTACTAATGTTTATTTTCATGATTATTTTCTTGATTGATTGAATAATTCTTTGGTCTATAAAACCTCAGAAAATAGTGAAAACTGCTGCGATTTCCTAAAAGAAAAACATAAAAAAAATAGCTTGTCTTGTCTGATAGAAATTAAGATTTTTATCATATAAGAAAAAGTAAAACAACAAATCTTCACATCTGAGAAGCTGGAACTAGTTAATAGTTTCAGCTGTATGTATAATGATGGTTATTAGCCTTGGAGGTCCAATACTTTTATTTAGCACTATGTCACTGCGGCCTGGGCATCGCTCACATGTTTGTGAAGCCCCGTAGAAGGGCAGTGGGAAAGGAGGGAAAGGTCCCACACTCAATTATAAAGTTGTCCTGTTACTACCATGCTTTGACCTTGCCTGAGGTTTGGTGTCTGTGCTCTCCTGCTGAATATCTGGCATCTAACAGCATCGACCTGAAAAACATGCACAACTTCACCAACACTCAAGCGCACCCCGGAATCAAACCTGCATCACCCCTAAGGCAGGTATAAAACAGTGTGGGCTCATGTTTTTGTGTGTGTGCGCGTGTGCATGTGTGTGCATGTGTCTCTATTAACTGGACAGCAGTCGATCATTTCTCAACGATCTTCAGAGGCTCGACCTTCATCCTCAGCAGATGGATGTGGCCTACAGGGCTTAGCGGGGGTGCCTAAGTATAACAAAGCCTGATGGTGATTGGATGGAGGTAGGGGCTACACCTCAGGATAACCCCACTAATTCCTACCACAATCTCCAATATCCGCAATCTGCTTCACTGAGGTTCTCCTGCCACCCTCTGATCTGATCTCTACATCCTTTATACGCAGCTGTTAAACATTAGAGAGACAGATTTCTAAATGAATGCAAAGAAACCTCTGTTATTTCAATCAGTCGGTACCAATCCTCCAGTGCTGCTGGTGCTGAAAGAAAAGAAGTGGCTGCTTGCAACTATGTAGTCTTTGAATAATCCATCTAACAGACAGCAGCACTACGATATCCGATTTCAGTAAGCAGCCAACACAACTGGCTGTGGCAGTTCACAGCTGCCCTACTACAGATTAATTCTCACATAAGTACAAACACAATCCACAAATCAGACAGAAGTTTCGACATAAATTTAAAGGAAAGTAGCAGCTTCATTCACTAATGTCTGCTCTGCACCCCTGTCCTCCTTTTTTTTTTGGTTACAACTTCAATAAAAGCTTCATAAGTACAGTCATTACTAAGAATTATGGATCAAATCAGCTGAAGACTCTGGGGCCACACAGAGTCAAAACATCACAGAACATGAAGGTTTTAATTGAACAGATTCATCAAGTGTGAACTGAATCTGTGTTAGTACAATGGTGAAAAAGAAACCAGAGCGGTGCTCCAGATGTGCCGCAGAGCAAAAAATCATCACAGGACTCATACTGTGTGTGAGTGTCTTAATTTTGTGTTGCAGCATTACTATCATTTCAAACTATTAATATAACTGATTTTTTGTCTTAAGTTCAGGCTAACCTCTCATATCAAGATCATAAGGCATTTTCTTCAGGTTTATGTGTGGTTGGCATCCCAAGGTCACAAGTAGCCTGCAGGAGATAAACATTTCATCTGGGGAAAATAAAACAAGGCCAAGCTGGTAAATGTTCAAACTCAGACTCAAAATGTTCTTACCTTTCTCTGTGGTGAGGAAACATCTTACAAGGTGACTGAGACTTCTTTTCTACAAAAAAGGTGGGAGAGAGTTGAAGCATTAACCCAACAACTCTTAGTCCAAATGACAACAGTTTTAATCTTTAAAATATTATAAAGAGTTTGTTCCGCTGAATCAACAACAAACTCTCAATTTTCTCTTTAAGCCTAATTAAATCTAGGCAATACTAACCCAGCCACACTTACCCCATTTCGGTGTAAACCCTTGTTGAGTCCGTTATCTAACAATAATTCCGCACTCAAACCGTTGTTGCTATCCCAGTCACTCTCCCCTTTCTTTCCCTCTGAGCCACCAGATGCTGAGACTCCTGCTTTATTCTCCAGGGGGGAAGGTTTTACTGCAAGGCGCTACACAGCCTGCTGCAGCCTGCAAAGTGTCAGCACCGTCCTGTCCTGGTCACCGGGGTCCGCCGGATACCTCTGCGGAGAGCGGGGAGTCACAACCCGGGGGCGACAGAGCGGCTGAGCTCGATGATTGAAGTGACCGCGGTCCCGTCTGTGTCCATGTTAGACCAGAGGAGCAGCAGCTGCTCTCTCCTTTCCTCTCAGCTCGTCCCGCTGGTCACAGCTCTCTGCCCCCCTTGCCTCCAGTTTTCAGCTCTCCATCCAGCTCGCATTCAACAGTGGGACCTGGCCGACAGTAGAGTACCACCTGCTGGCTCTAAAGGCTCCGAGCAGCGGCTACAGTTGTTGTGAGGCGGTGAAGCAGCGAAACTGTGTCAACCTGCCTGCAGCCAATGAGCCTGCATGTGTGCATACCGCAAACTGGATCTTATAGGTCTGCGTGGAGCTGCCAGTTTTAAGGCTTAATGAAGCATCGTCCCGAAGGACAAATCATGACCTAAAAAGACTTATTCAGAGTCATACTACAGCACATTCAGGGTATAGCTGTAATAAAAATATAGATTTTTATATCATCAGAAATGTTAAAGCTGCAGGTGGTTCTGTCCTGCACTCGTAAAAAAGGGTGAAAAAAGAGAAGTACAACAGTGAAGTCAGACTGAAGGAGAAAAAAAGAAGCAAACTTTAATGTCCCAAGATTAACAGGAGGATTTTTGTGAGCATTATTTTCAAACTACCAACATCAATTAGTGGGAAGAAAAACAAAATGGTGCAGCCATGTGGCCAACGTTTTCAGTTCAGTTTTAAACAGCAACAAGCCAAATAAAGATTATCATAGAAAAAAAAAATATAAAGAGGAAAACATCCAACTCAAAAAGTTACCCTCCAGTCATAGGACATGCAAAACTATGTTGGTAAAGGATGAGGTGGTCAGTGATAGGCTATTGTGTTTTCAAGTTAGACCTAAATGTCAATGATCTTGTGCATCTAGCTAGTACTAGTCATCTGGATAGGGTGTAAGAGAAATATAGAGAACAAGCAGATTATCTACTATTCTACACATGATTCATAAAGAATTTAGGGAATATATATGAAATTGATGCCCTGTACAGGATGGGGATGTGTCACCTCCACATCTGGAGTTGGCCACAAACTGACCTCAGTTTGTTGGTAACTGGGGACATTAAAAAAACACTCACTAGTAACTTGTGTTGAGGAAACAAATTCAAATCTTTGTGGTTGCTTTTTGTCTCCATGGCTCTGAGAACCTTTTACCAGGTTCTCTCTGCAACTGATGGATGAAACAGTCATTTCAGTGGCAGTGGGGTGTGGGGGGGGTATCATAACTATTTAAAACCAATTTTAGGGTCATGCATTTCAATGATGTGAAAATCTAAGTAGTTTAGATCACAAGGAAAACAAGGGTCAGTACAGTGCACAAGTAATTAGAGACACCGATTAAAAACAAGGTACGAGAAAACTTCACGTGTCTATCTAAAGCATGTGAAATGAGAACTTACAACACGTGCAGAATATTGAAACTAAGACACAAAGTTCACGAAAGTTATAGAACAAACTAACTGCTCTGTCCTTCACATGACGCACTATCTGTGACAGTTTCACTTTTCTATAAGCTCAAGACTTTAGAACAACAAAGAACCAAAAAACTAGAGCAAGAAAACATGAGGCGTTCTCTGGACTCAGGTCCGACCAACAGACATTACTCTTGGGTTGTCAGGTTTTCATAAATTAAAAATGTCTTTGAGCCAATTTTCATAGTGCATGTACAACATATAACCTCTAAATTTGTAAATCAGTAGCCTTTCCAAAATACATCTCAAAATATCTTTCACCAAAGTCCAACGTGGTGAGATCTATGACCAGGTTTCTCTTCAACACGTTTGTTCTCAGATGGGGCCTTAGAAGTTTTCATCATCCTCTGTACTGAGTAGTGTTCAGCTACTCCTCAAGTTCATGATTTCTGTAATAAAAGTGTTCTCTCGCTTCACTTCACTGCAATAATCAGGGTGTGACATTGTACATAAATGATCTAACTGTACGCATGTTTTTTGATATATGACTTTAGGGCAAGGGTCTTTGGGGAGTACTGCCCTCTGGATTTGGCTTATTTGATGCTTTTAGCTACCATGTAATAGGTCAAAATGATCCATATCTGCTAGCTTTAGTGGCTTCAGGGCCAGCAGAAAAGAATGAAAACTTCATTCGTTTATAAGCTGGTTATGGTGCGTTCACTTTCACTCTTTTGCACGACTAAAGAGATACACTTAGAAGAACAAAAACAAAATTGTCTCCCTCTATTCAGATCTTTGGAGCCGTCATCCTCAGATCTGGAGACAAAGATGTTTTTCTTTTACGTTTATATTTTTAAAGAGCTAATTCCACCACTTATTCTTTGCAGACCACCTTGAGAAAGACCTGCCTTTAAAGACAGCCCACTACACTAGCAAACATCACTGAAAACCTCAATGAAAACAGCCTTTATTTAGAAAACTTTCCAACTCAAAGCTGAGAAAGAAAAGTGAATGATCCGTGGCTGTGTAATCCTCAAATATCATTTCAACTCTTTGAGGCACAACACCACAAGCACTTTTGAGTTCACTCGAACAGCCAAACAGTGTCTTTACACTCCTCTCTCCTGGATGCTTAGATGTGATCAAATGCAGAGCCTCGATTCAAGCTTTGAGTTTAAAAAAGTTGCCATGTCAACTGCTTCAAGAGTTGTGTCCCCTTTTGTTTTCTCTCTCTCTCTCCAAGTCACAGAGGACGTCCTGTTGAGTTAGCTTGGAGGACTTCTGTGTGAGACACCTCTTCTTCTCCATCTTTCTCAGCTTTTGGAGCAAGATTCCCAACCATACCGCCTGGAGATCCCAGAGGGTTCAGGGGCACACGAGGGGACAAGATGACACAGTCTCCCCTCTCCCCACTCCAGAATCATTCGGACCTTCCACCCTCGTTGACCTGTCCAAGGTCTCGCCTCTCCAACTGCGCTGCTCCGACGACGACGACAGCTTTCTCCTTCGCCATGTCTTCGCATGTGAGCAGCAGTGCCTTCTCTCCTCCACCAGCCTCCCGCTCTCTTCTCTTGCTCTCTTCCTGTCCAGCTCTACTCCCATTTTTGCTCTCACTCTTGTGATTGGTTGGTTTCTCACGGTCTCTCTCCTGTTACTTTCACACAGTGGTGCTTCGGTTGTAGCAGTGGAAAACGGGTATCCATGTTTGTTCTTTTTTGTTATTACCCAGATTAAAATACCGATGAACTAAGCTTCACACAGGCCTAGCTCCTTTTCAGCAACCTGTAAGACAATGAAAAATACACACACATATATACACACTTGTCTGAGAAAATAATTTTAAAACAATGATTTGACCATTTAGGAAAATGCACTTATTCGCTTGCTTGGCGAGAGTTAGATGAGAAGATCGATACCTCTCAAGAACCAGGTGAGGAGACAGTTATCTTAGCATAAAGACTGGAAACAGCTAGCCTGGCTCTGTGCAACTGTACCAACCTCTATGGCTAAACATGTGATATCTTGTATATTTATTCTGTACAAAAACCAAAGAATGACATTGACCGGTTAGTTTTGTGCTAAGCTATCTGTCTCCTTAATACAGTTTCAAATTTTGCATAACTTCTCATGTAATTCTCAGCAGGAAAATGAACAAGCAGATTTTCCTGAAATGGCAGACTAATCCTTTAATTTCAGTGAGTCAGCTAACTCCACAGTGGAATTTCTTACAGTCTAGTACTGGGACAGTCCAGTCACACCACCGTGTTGGTAGGCCCGCTCCCCCTGGTAGGTGGAGTCCTGGGACAAAGCCACATCAATCTGGGACTTGAACTCATCTCCTAGGTAACTGTCCTATAATGGGACAAACAGAAAGCGAAAGAGACCAGTCAACAGTTATTCCCTCACTTCTTTCCAGGCAGAAAAGGAATAAGTGGTTTTAGAGAAGATGAAGTCTTTACTTGAAGAGGAAATTGGACAAGACCTTGGAATAAACTGTATGAGCAGACAGCCCTGACATGAAGTATTAATTGCTGTGAATAAACAGACTGCAAACAGCTTGCCTCATAAAGTGCACCTAGTTAGCAAGTCATAAAATATCTAAAATTTATGATACAGATTTATTCCCAATAAAACAACAGTGGAATTAACAAACCTGGGAGAGTTCAGGCTGGGAGAGCCCAGGCTGACTCATCTGTGACGGCTGACTCATGTTGATATAGCCCTGTGTCAGAGGCCCTTGGGAGAAGGGCTGAGAGCCCAGGTCCTGGCTGGCCTGGCTGCCGCTCATATGTCCTCCATGCCCGCGGTCCCCTCCTCCGTTCCCTCCACCATGGTTCCCCATGTTGCCACGGTTTCTTTGACGGCCACCTCGAGTCCCGCCTCCTCCTCCACTGCCTGCCTTGCCCTTCATACCTCCACCACGACCTGGAGGAAAGTAAAGTATGTTGTATAGACGCTTTAACTGAAAAACCCTGTAGGCCTCTAAGAACTACGCAGTTAGCAGCGCTCTTACAGTTTTATGTCTTTCTCACCTGCTGAGGGCCCATTCACCTGTCCCATGTAGCCAGAGGGAGGAATGGGAGGCATCACAAGGTTGAAGGGGATGGGGATGTTCATGGAGGTCATGGGACTGGGGCCTGTGCCAATCATACCAATCTGGTCATGAGTCTGGAAATACATGTTGGACATACGCCCTGTAGTGGAAAGAACTACAAGTTAATTTTACTGCCCTTTGAATTATTTGGCTGTGTGCAGAGACAGTATTGTCACATGACAGTGCACACAGCTCTTGTTTTGTATTTAAGATACTTTAGAAAGCACATTCAACCTGTAAACTAGCAAAGCAGATACAGCACGAGTCCTTTGTAATGACGTTTAGTGGTAAGAAATGTTCTAACATTTGAGACAAGAATGAGTGTGTGTTTCAAAATGACTCACCATTGCTGCTGCGGTCATAAACAGATCCAGGAATGAGGGCCTCCCTGGCATCATACATGGCAGTGCTCATGAATCGACCCCCCTGTAAAACAAAATGCTATTTTCAATGTTTTTAGACCACAGCTCATTAATTCTTGTGTGTACACTGATTTATTACCTTGTTTTCCATTAACTCCTCATGCTAGGTGCATGGGTAAATTCTGAAATGCATCCTACATGTACACCACCGGGACCAAAAAAAACTCATGGCCCAGTTAGGAAAATCATTCTATATGCTTCACACACACACACACACACACACACACACACACACACACACACACACACACACACACACACACACACAACTCACAGGATTGATGGTGTTGACCAATTTGCGTGGCTTGCTGAACTGCATGAGGCTCTCCCTCAAGTTGTTGAGGGGGCCTTCAACCAGGACCTTCTGCTCCTTGTAGTAGTTCAGCAGGTGGTTCCACAGGGGCTGCTTGGACAGGGCTTTAGGGTTTCCCACAATGATCACACCATACCTGTGACAGGAGCAGAAAATGATTGTTAACAAAGAAATGATTAAGAGTTAACATCAGTCAGTTAGTTGCCATAATAGCCATTGCCATTACCTAGCCCTGGTCAGTGCCACATTTAGACGTCGGGGATCATTAAGGAAGCCGATGCCTTGGTGCTCATTGGCCCTCACACAGGACAGGATGATGAAGTCTTTCTCTCTGCCTTGAAAGGCATCCACACTGGCTATCTCCACCTCCTACACAAAGAATGAAGTGAAATGAAACTGACTGATGATTTAGGATTATACATTTACAAATAGTGAGAAAGTATTTGGTTGTGCTTTCTTCACAAAGGTGCGACTGTTTGAGGTAAATGTCTACACACTGTAGTTTTTGGAGCCCTTTCAGTCTCCTCTTAGTCTTAACTTAACATCTTAGAGGATTTCAGTTTAAATGGTTTTGATAGATGCTTCTGTGTAACTGAGCAATACAACATTTAAACTGCAAAAAATATTTGTCACTCTACCTGATAGAGCTTGGTATGGAGGGAGCCACTGAACTGCATGTATTGGACCAGGTACGACCTCTGTCCCTCGTAGGGGGTAATGATGCCGATCTGATCAGGTTTCGCTCCAGCTTTCAGCAACCTTGTGGTTATTTTCTCCACATTGGCTGCCTCAGTCCTGCATGAACGAGAAGGCTTGTTATATGATGGAGAACATTTTTTACAATAACTTAGCACGTTGCACAGAAAGTGATATTTTTGAACACCTATGCCTATAGTGGCTGCATTTTCCAGGAGACTGAAGGATAAACATATCAGGTCAGCGTAATGATCAAGGCAGTTCAAACCTGTTCAGGTAAGATGTTCCAGAGCTGGCAATTTCCTCTTGGCCTTGTGTGACGTAAAAGAACATCGGTTTGTCAGGCTGCGGCCACTGGAAGTCAAAGCCTTTCTTCACACGGTCCGCTATGGAAAGAGCAAACAAACATGTATGACTCAGGACTGCAGAGAAGTACTCTGACTAATGTGTACCTGAAGGAATTCTGAGGGGATAAGCTTCAGAGCATCTATGTTACACATGCTTCAAAGATCATAGATGATAATTAATACAATCGAAAGAGGTTGAAATACAGGTAAAGCAGGCCATATGCAGCCAAATGGTGCTGTGACTACCAATTAGGTGAACACAAGATCTGACAGCATCACTGGACAAGTCCTTTTTTAAACTGTCTGTGTGGAGCAAGTCGTCGAGGACACGCGAAAGAACATTTAGCTGCATTCTGAAGCCTTGGCAGGAAATTACAGGGCAGTTTCAAAAGCTTTCACTCAGTCTGAAATGGGAAAGCCATATTTGAACATCACAAAATTAGATTTTAATAAAAAATTATTTTCATCTTACCAGCAGTGACTCCATTCTGCAGAGAGCCTTCATAGAAGATGTTGGAGGGGAAGGCGCTGAGGGCTGGGTGCATGCGGTACTGGACCTGCAGACGGATTGGCCGGATGCCCAGAACTACCAGACGCTCAAACAGAGACTGGGACAGACCTGCTTTAGCTGCCTTCTTACACATCACCACAGGACCCAGCTGGCAGTGATCACCCACCAAAATCAACTACAAAAAGAGGAACAGATGATTACAGTTGAGAGGACAAGGAAATGAAAATATGAATGAACATAAAATAGATATTTGTGGAGACCCATACGCCACACAACTGTGGAATGACTGCACTTTAAGCAGATATCTGATGCCATAGAATGATTCAGGAACTCCAACCTGCTTGGCCCCCAGGACGACAGGCACCATGCACTCTGGTTCAGTTGCCTGAGTGCTCTCGTCGATCAGGATTGAGCGGAACTGCATCTTGGCCAGACGAGGATCCCCGGCACCAACACAGGTACAACAGATCACATCAGCATTCTGAGAAAGAGAGAAGCAATAAAGCAGACATGTTTAGGAACAGTGAAATATTGCTTGTTGCAAAGCTTTCCTAGTTTTGTTACCCTGCACAGATTAGCAGAAAAAATTGAACTATTAAGTCTTAGCTGTACAGCTATACAGTGTTGTGTCAGCAAAGTCAGAAAAAGGAAAACATTTGGTAGGACTTCAGCAAGACCATACTTCATACCATGAGCAGCTCCCTCTCAGCTGTGCGCCTCAGAGCTCGGTAGCGCTTCTCATCTGAGGAGGACAGCTCGCCAGTCTCGTCCTTCAGCTGCTGGAGCTTCTGAAGTTCTGGCATACTGCAGGTTTGAATGATTTCAGCAGAGATCAACGTTGTGCTTCAGAGCAAAGACTAGTATCTGTTAAGTATAACTTAAAGGTGATGGTATTTGTACTTCCCATATTTCAATTTCTTACTAAACAATTATTAGTGGGACTAGCTGGTCGACTACTAACAACTTAAAAAAAAAAAAACTTGCTCACAGTTCCACCACAAAAGCAAACAAAAGTTAAGCATACACTCCAAAGTTAGTCTTTAAAAATGATTATTGATCCTAGGCGGTTATGTGCTACCTGTCCATGTTCCGGGTCTGGTTGTGCAAAGCCAGGAAGGACACAGGTGAGTCAATGGCTTCCCTGCTCTTGGCACACAGCCTCACCACCTTGAGTCCTGTCTGGTGGATCTTCTCCGTCAGCTGGTCAACGGCAATGTTACTGGGAGCACACACCAACACTGGCCTGAGGAGGCAAAAGTTACAGTATTGTCTTAGAGACCACAACACACAGCCAAGCCGTTATTCAAGAACAGTATTGGTCATTTCATTTTTTGTTTTATTGGTAGTGATTAAATACCCATCAATAGAAAAAAATATTTTTGGATGTCCAAAAGAAACGATGGGTGCCCCAAAGACAAGAGTAAAAACATTTATGAGTCTCACCCGTTGCCCTGTCTAGCCAGGTGGTAGACAATGGTGGCAGAGGTTACAGTCTTCCCTGTGCCAGGAGGACCCTGGATCAGACTGAGGGGACGCTGCAGCACCGTCTTCACAGCATACACCTGCATTACAACAAACCACACTGATATCATTGAGAGGACAATAATGAAGAAGTTTTCTACAATATTAACTATAATATATATGATATGGTGACATGAATGACCTCAGTCTTAGCACTCTCATCTCTGTCGTGTTGCTTTTGTTCTCTGTAAAGTCGGGGTGGGCACTGGCATAACTTTTTCTGATGATAAATTACCAAAGTGTATCAATGAAAACAATTCAGCTGTCTCTCTTCCTCACCTGGGAGTGGTTAAGATCAGGCAGGCCTTGAGCGGTGAAGCGTTTGGGCAGCTGACACTTGATGACCACATCTTCAACCTCATGTCCCAGCAGTTTGTGGTAGATGTAACCAGACACTGAGGTCTCGTCCACAGCAAATGTCTTCAGGGCACTCTGCATTCTGGATGATGGAAACAGGATTACTTGGACAAGGTTGATAAACTGGATTTGAAAAAAAAAAACAGCCATCATGGAGGGGAAAACCATTGTCAACCTAATACATCTCTGATCTCCTTGTACGCTATGACCCAGACCCCTCAGGTCACGTGGGACAGGTTTACTCAGTGTTCCCAGAATCAAAACCAAGCAAGGTGAAGAAACTTCTGGCATCTGTGATCCCACCTGTAGTGAGACCTGCTGAATATGGGAGCTCATTTCCATCAGGGCTTAAAACATTACCATTTGCTTCAGCTTACCAATAAATTACATACACAACATCTTTTTAATCTTGGCTCGTGTCAGCAGAGACTCAACTGCAACAACCACCTCCCCTCACATCTTTTTCCATCTTTAAGTACTTATCTCCTTTTAATGTCTTTTATCATTGTAGCACTTCTTTTAAACTGCTGATAGTATTGATGTCGGTTTCTTGTGAATACCTGTCAAAGGAAGTGGACTTCCACACAAAGTCGACCTGAAAGTTGTGTGGGATCTCCACCGGAGCCCCGGCACTGCTCCTCAGCTCTATGGCAATCTCATCACCATAGTCTGGTACAATGAGTCAAGGAAGAGGTGGAACCTTTGAACATATACTGTAGTTATAAACACATTTGTGGTAACTGCTTTGACAGTATTTACTGTGCTTTATTTATATCTGCTTTAAGGTCAGACATCTCCAGGGTGCTATGTAGGTGTCTATTTTCATTAATCACCTAACCTAGTTGTTCTTCTGTCACCTGCTGCTAATGTTCCAGGCTTTAAAAACAGGTTAAACTTCTGATTATATTTAATCAAAACCCAGCTGAATATCAGAACAGCATTTAGAAATTCTAAACTTCAAATTTCTTTAAAATTTAGAAATACTGGGTAGAGCCACTGACAATTGTCCTGATATGCAGCCTCAGGTCATATGGCCGCAGTATTATATCAGTTAACTAACAGGTGGTAAGCTGTTTGTGTGAAATCTATATATAGAATTTACTTCCAGAACCAAAGGGGACTGTGGTGAGAAGACACAAGTTTGTCAATGTTGTTGTAGTTTTCTACTGCTGCCACTAGATGTAACTAAAGACCCATATTTCACTGTTAGGCCGTTTAATTTCATTCACAATGAACAAGTAAATCAAGAGGCCCAAGTACATGTTTCTAACTGTGGCTGAAGCGATGAATGTGTGAATCACAGATATAATGGTAAAATGTTAGATAAAGTGTGTATTGTTACAGCTGTAAGGATACTATCAGGGACTTTGATGACATGTCCAATGCCTTTCCATGGAGGGGCCAGGTCCCCTTTGTACCTCAGGCAAATTTCATCTCCCTGCATCAGTCGCATATCTAGAGGACAGCAGACAAGGCAGACATAAAAACAATAATTTTGTTATATAAACATCACTGCAGGGTGTAAATTGATCTTAAAATTTGGGAGCTGGTTCCAGCAGTGGGCAGAATAATGGCTGAAAGCCATTTCACCCTGTTTAGTTTTAACTCTGGTCAACACTAACTGACCAGCTCCTGCAAATCTGCACCGAAGGCACAATTTAAAAATAATCAATCAAAAGATGAATTTAAAGAATCTTATGTGACAGCAACATATGCAGGTATTTAAATGATTATAAATATGTTTTCCTTTTTGAAACTTGTGGATCAATGTGTCAGAATAACATGAAAAATTTCACTCAGACAAAATACGATAATGATACATTTGAAACAAAACTTCAAATAAATACCTGAGTCCGTCTTGGGGAGAGTGAAATATGCAATCCTCTTTTTATTCAGTCCCAAGTCCCATCTGACCGTGATGTTGTCTTGAGTCTGTTTGGAAGCAACATTAAAATATATATTTAACAAATAAACAGAAACCATTTTAAAGTCAAAATTATTCCAGACAACAAAAGAATACAGTGATTTCATTAAAACCGCAGTGGGAAACTTGAAAAGTGACTGAAACAACATAATTTGCTGAATTTGCTATTATAACAAATTTCCTTTATCTCCAGCGTTAGAGAACAAAAACTAAATTCAACTACAACTTAAACTACTTATTGATTAACTGATTATTTGACCCACATTAAATTAGTAATTTACTGATTTGACAAACAATCATTCAATTTATTTATTATAAAAATATTGCGAGCATAAACCAAATGGTTTTTGAATTTATAAGTTTTGTTTACCTGAGACTCTTTGAGCTTCTTATCATAGTCAGCTTCCAGCTTCACAAGGGGACCAAAGATGTTCTGGTACTGATAGGCATCCTCATATCGCAGCAGGACGTGTTGGGGCTCCTCATCCACACCAGGCTTCTCCAGGTCCTCCAAGGTCGCAGTTGGATTTTCCTGCCAGGAAGAAACACACAGACACACACAGGATAAAAGATTGAAATATGGATAGAGAAGCAAAATAGAGGCCAGATGCAATTTTTGTGGCTGATTCTGATTTTTGATTTTTTTTTTTTTCTTTCTTTTTTTTAAGTCTGACCTACCAATTCAGATTTTGACAAACACAAACATGTTCAGTGGGTTGATGGTGTTTTAAGTGTCTGATTAAGTTTGTCATCATGTGGTGCATTAGTGTAAATTTGACCAGCAAAGAATTGGCTATTTGAGGCTGAACAGCCAGTCACTGATCATAGCCAATCACACTATAAATCAGCCATTTCTGATTGCTAGCCAATTGACCAGCGTGCCAGAGTTCTATTAGAGTTGAGTCTTTTCTTTCAATATGCCCAAATCTCCTCAAATCCCAACTTGGACAGTTTCAGACAACAGGTGTGTTCACAAAAGACATTTTGACGTGTCACAGCAGAAAAAGCACAGGTGTGAATAATAAAATGAATGAGGACTGAATTCAATTTAGCTACTTCGGTTTCAAAGTCCTGGTGTTGTGCATGTTGGCTCACTGTCACACTGTCATTCATTCATTCATTCATTTGACAACATAAGTTAACATTAACAAAGCATTGTCATGCTATAAGGACATAAAAAAGAAATACAGAAAGAAGTGCTAGGAGTAAACACACTTCTACACGACAGGAAACTACAAAAACATATCTACACAAGCATTAAACAGGCAGTGAAACTGGTACTGAACAGGAAGAAATAGCTCAACACACATGCTGATAAGTTATTTGCATCACACCTAACTGTATAAGTATATTTGGTTTAATAGTACCTTCCAGAGCTCCTCCAGCTTGTTGATCTGCTGGGCGGTGATCTGGCGGGCCCTGAGCTGCTCCTGCTCTGAGGGGATTTTGACCAGCCAGGACAGGAAGCAGCGATCCTGAATGAGAGGCTGCCACTGTGAGCTGTCCCAGTTGATGTCTTTCAGGCTGCTCTGGCTGGCACATGGCTGCCTGTGTTACAACCAAAACAAAAATATAAATGTTCTGAATTCTCTTTCACTGACCCATCAGCAGGGAGTTCAGAGTGCACAGTCAGCTGTATAAATTTGCCTTTACCTGCACAGCAACACCACTACTGAGTCAGCCTTGGCGGGGATGAAGCCCAGCAGGAAGACATTACGACAGCCACAGTTGTAGCACTCCAGCACTGTTTCCCCCAGAGGGCCGTCTTTATGCAGTGTCACCTCCTTGGACTTTGCTCTCACCAGGTGGTTTACAATATGGCTAAAAGTGAAGAGAAAGATAATTAATGCCCCAGCTGGAAGAAACACAAAAGACTACAGTCTTGTATATGCTAGTGATAAGTCCTACAGCACTGTTGCTATGATGATACTGTACCTGTAAAATGATTCTGTCTCAGTTCATTTAGCTCGTTCATTTAGTTAATAAAAAGCTGAAAAGCCACTGTGTCTTACCTGCCGGATGTGTTTCCACGGCCATTACAAAACCACTTCTTGCTGGTATTGCAGTAGACCACACAGGCTGGATCATGAATCCCACAATAACTAAAACAGAGGAGAGTCAAAATTTAAAAAAGAAAGACATAACATTACTGTTAATAAAATCTAATCTGTGTTAGAACAGAACAAGTACAAAAAAAAACATAAGCGCAATACTTATGATAAATTCTCAAAACTGACTCGGATAATACTGCCAGATCTCCTATGTCATGACCATATCTTTATTAATGGAACTAAAATCAAAGAGAAATTTTATCGCAATTTTATGGCTGACTAAAGCAACAGCACATGCTCAATAGTCATTTTTCTTTTTCCATTTTGAGGACAAAATAAGTTCAAGTGACTAAGAGTAACTTAGAGAAATGTTATGTAAATGGTCATGTAAACTATTCAGAAAACTGTCAAGTGTTGTGAGAATTTGACAGCTCATGAGAAACGCTTTCTTTTGTTCCCTGAGGAAAATATGTTCCAAAATGTAACAGCGTGTTGCTGATGGGTATCAAAGTTTATATTATAAAAATAAAACTATTAAAAGGAGAGGATGGCACATTTGCAGAGAAAACTGAGGTCCTAATTCTCTGTCCAACTGATTTTTGTTTTCATTGCCAATCTTCAGCAAAAAGTATTTAACATATTTGAAACTGCTACTGATCTGCTGGTGAATTATATTGTGATACAGCAGTTTATATAGAAACAACTGAGTAGTTATCTTAGCTCACTGAGCAACTGAGAATGTCAGACATACTCAGCTGGACTTATTAGGCACAGCCAGACTAACAGCCAACATGTTAGACAACATATGAACTGTGAGTGTGAGAACAGAAGAATATTGATTAATCATTATTGACATTAGACATGATAACAAGACGTTCTGATAATTTGGCTTGTGTCAACTGTAAAGTGTGTTAGTTAGTGAGTGTGCATCTGTAGGGAGACGTGCGTGTTGCCAACACAGTAAACCATTGAAGTTAAGAGGCTAGGATGGACAGACACCAGCACACTAAGTACAGATAAGTTCGATCAGAGACTAAGAATGAGGGGAAAGTATCTGCTTTTATATGGCATAGTATTTGAAAGTTAGCATTCAAATTTCTACAAAAATTACTAATCAAGATATATCTTCAGACATTAAGATTTTTTTTTTTTTAAATGCACGTGGTGGACTGGGCCCCAACAACCCACTGACACTGCTTGTAAAGACAGGGGTGTACGTAGCTATAACAAATACCAACACCCATCATAAATTCCAGCCAGACAAAGCAAGCAATAGAAAAAATCCCAAAATGTTTCCAGAGTGAAATAAAATCATCATAAGTAGAGCCCGAACCGATATTGGATTTTTGGGGCCGATGCATATACTGTTATCAGAAAGTAAAAAAATTCCGATAGATGGAATATCACAAGTGATTATTTCCACTTTGGTGACCGCCAGTGAACCAGTCACATTAGTGTGGTCCCTTACCTGCAGGCATGTACAGGAAGGTCCTTGGTATAGTAGGTGTCCTCCTCATCCTCCTCAAAGTTCAGCTCTGCCAGCAACTGACTGGCCTTTACTACAGGGTCGTCTCCATTCTGTAGCACCCCATCAGGACCATTAACCTGAGGAGACAGTGGAATTACATATAAGAACTGAAACTTTATGTCAACATTGTGTGGAATAAACTTTAAGAATCACGGATCATGCAAATATTGGACAGCCAAACAGAGAGATAATGCCTTGAGTGATCATTTATTTCACTTGCAGTCTAACTTGCTGACTTTCACATCAACACATTGTTAGTTGACAGCAATATTACACTGACTGTATCTAACTAATTGTGTCCACTGACCTGTATGATTGTTGCTGTCAGTAGACTGCGAGAGTAGTTAGTACATACAAGTGCTAGTACGTTTAAATATGGACATCTGTGGCTAGACTGCAATACTGGCAAATCCCTGACACTCTTGAGTAATATTACAATAAAGTCCTGAATCTTGACATGCTAGCTGTGTCAGCATGCTAACTGTGCGAGCTGGTTAGCTAGCATGCTAGCCAATTAGCGGGATAAAAGCATGGTAACAGATGGAAGGCGTCATCGTGCTAACCGGAGGTAGCCAGGGATGTTGTGAGCTAACGTTAGCAAATTCACGTTTCATCAACACAGTAGAAGACATATTTTGACACAGAGCTGCCACGAAAAACCTCACGCACCTGGCTGTCGAGCTGACTCTGGGTCTGGCCTTGGGTCTGGGTCTGGCTCGGCAGGGTAAAATCGGTGAAGTCGTACTCGGAGCCCTGGGTGTCCGCTCCCAGCAGCTCGGCTTCTTCGGTGTCCAGGAACGTTAGAGTCTGCGAGCTCGGCCCGTACGCCTCGACGCTCATGTTTGTTGCTTCTTTTCAACGGTATTTTAGCCGTTTCCAACGAATATTGCACGGACTTTTGCTTATCCGGGAGAAAATTAATAACGGAGACAGACTATCGATGGGAAAATGACAAACAGTGGTGGTGTGAGAGAGATACAGAGCCTCGACTGCGGCCGCGTTCCGTTTGTCTCCTTCCCCCTGCTCGTTTCCTTTCCTACTCCACTACCACTTGTCTGCTACAGGAAGTCATCTGCAGGGCGCGAGGGAAGGGGAGGAGACAAGGAGACACATGTGAACAGAAATGGTACAATTGATTGCTTATATGGTCACAGAAGTCCTCTATTAAAAACTCAGAAAGTTTATTATGCAACAGGGTCAAATCTTTACTAATGAGCAACAAAGAGTGTTTACACCTTTTTCATATATATATTTTTTTTTTATCAGGTTAATTGTCTGGGACAATGCTCGTCGATTAACTGTATCAACATATCTTAAACAATTCAAATATAGCCTATAATAAATATGCAAAAATGGAATAGCCACTAATAAATAATGCCACTCTATGATAACACATACTACATGGAAAGGAACAGCAGAGCAAAGATTTTATCTTTGTACCTATTAGTGGGGAAAATCATTGTAATATATGGATATGTGGACATTTTACAGGCTGAATTGGTTTTATGCCATTATTTTTTAAGGTAATTTTTAATAATGTAATGATGCTTAATTTTACTTAGCAACTTCTAAGGAACATTGTTATTTTGACTTTAAAGTTTTATTTTATGTCCACCACTGGAACTTTGTCCTTGTTTACCATCTGCTGACTTTTAACAGGTTAGATCAGCTCTGAGGTTCTCATAAATCCTGGTGCTTGTAGCCTAAGAGATGTGGTAAAATGACTTTACTCCTGTGCCAATACCTTATTTCAATTCTCAGAACATCATGATCCTTCCCTCTGTCCTGCACTGATCCATCAGGTCAGAACAAGTTCAGCAGGTCTGTTTAACTATGATGTACAACACCCACATTTATCATAATTCATCCTGCACCAAAGGAATTCAAAACTAAATTAAATATGAGACTTCATTGGAACACCACACGTGACAATGCTGTGGATAGATTCCTGAACAGATTGCGAAATTCTTAGTGTCAGTGACTGTGGACATTTACCAGGTTTCCAATCTCAAATGTCTACAAAAATACAGAAGCAAACCTAAACAATTCTCTTCCTTTTTTTTTTTTTTTTTTACCTATCTTTGTTTTAACAGTCTAACTGGAATGGGGGATTGTCATCCAAAAATACACTTGCAATCTTAACTGAGATAAGAGTTTGCTGTTAGGAACTCTCAAATTTTGCTTTTTCAAGTGAATTCAGCTCACTGAGAGGAAGCAACATAACATCAGTCAAGGGATCGTACATCCTCTTCTCTGTTCTCCAGGGTAGCACAACAAGTTTCTGATCATAGACCAGCCTCTGACCTCAGTTTTCAGACGCTTTAAGGCTTAGTAAGAGAACCCGAATTCTCCTACTGTTTCAATTCAGACATGGTTTTAAAAGGCAACACCTTTGTGTGGGGAAAAAATGTATGTCAGACTCCAAGTACACAGTGTTCAAAGTAATCACAGGCCATAATTTGTTCTGGCAGGGTACAAGCTCACTTGTGAGATTTTTTTTATTAAGCTGTTGACTTTTTATGGGTGTGGTTCCCTGTGTAACAATTCAAGTCAAATAACATTAGCATGTATTGTTAAGATGTGAACAGTAGATAGGTGAAAGAAATGTATTTTATCTACTGATATTATCCCACCAAAGCATTCATTAAAAAAATACAAAATTATAGTTCTAATGTTATCGGTGGCTAAAGTGGATATTCGTGAATCTAAACTGCCAAATTATAAGCAATAATTTTTGGGATTTTGAACTAAACCAAAAAAATATCAGAAAACACATTAAGTAGCCTACTCAATAAGAAAGGTGTGTTGGGAGGAAGAAAAAAAATGCCAGTGTGTCATATTAGGAACACATAAATGCTGCTGCAATATGCAAAATAAAATCTGACTAAAGATTTCAAACAAGGAGAAGTAAGTGAAGTGTTTTAATTACACACAAATTTAAGCTGGCTTTGTGTGGCAAAGCTGCACTACATACACTAGACAGACACATCAAATTAATCAAATTGCAAGTAATGATTGCATGTGCAATATATTCCCTGAGATAAACAAACAATTGTAAGCGCAAATCTTTAAATTTCTTCAGATTTCCATCATTTCAAAGTCATCACATTCGTCTGGTGCAAATGCAAACAATAAAAGGGAATGACAGGATCTCCAAGACAATAACAAAATCACACCAAGAAGATTTGGGAAACTGGTGAGAGGTTAGTGTAACTGTAAAAATTCACACAGTGTGTCAACATTTCACTTACAACTGTTACCTTGTTAGTACTACTGATGATTATATGTTAAATTGGTAAAAAAAAATATCCTCTTTTCACATTAATGTCCATAAATGTCGCTGAGTTGACATCTACTTTCACAGTCTTATGGAAGATCAGAGGCAGATATAATAAAGACTCGCTGATGCTAACGCCTCATGCACATTACAGACGCATTCAGACCTACACTTCCACACACAGACTACAGTAAACAGATGCTGTAGTCAGGGTGTTGTGCCCAGAACAGACATGCAACAGTTTTAAGATACAACTTTTTTTTTTAAAGCACCCATCTGAGACTCTTTGATTGCTAAATTGACAACAAATGTCAAATTCATGCTAATGGTCAGGGCGTTTAGTCATCACTGTACCTGCATTGTAAGTCACAGTTTGTGAATTTTCTAAGCCAGACAACTAAATCAAAATGTGCTTCAGAAGTAAGATTGATTAAAACATTACTACAAGCCAGTGGTCCGTTATGGTCAGCTGGATCTATGAGTCTTCTCAGGTTGTGAGGTCATTAGTGGTCATGCTGGTGTTGATGCTTGTGACCGCAGTGCTCGTTTTGTCTGTGCTCCTCCTCAGTACGATCCAGCTCCAGCAGGTTCAGCATCTCCTGCACGACGGCCTGAAGGGCTCTACCCAGGTCCTGGCTGCGGTAGGGTTTTCCTAGCGGAGGCACATGAATGAAGGCAGAGCGGCCCTGCCCCAGGTACAGAGACGTGTAGTAGGTGTAGTCGCACAGATACCTAGCAGGGGCCAAAGGGTGGCTGTTAGAATATGTACAGTTTGTATTATCACATCTCTACTTTATCAAATTGATGCGAGATTAGCACAAAAGGGAAGACAGAGGGGAATACATGTGATAAAGGATGTGAGCCAGCTTAGCCTCTGGCTGTTACACCAAGGCACTTTTTAAAGTGAGATAAACTGATAAAACCATATTAATTATCGTTCAATTATTCAGTGTTAAAAAGATTAATATTTTGTCATAGTGTAGGCCTGGGAGGAAGAAATTAAACCAAATTCCACTGACAGAAAAAACAGAAGACAATATATAAAATAAACATATAAATGTATATTTATATTTATCGTCAATGTCAGATCAAACTCCTTAACCTATGCTCTTGTGGCTGCATTCAGAGCAGGCATGAAAATGGGCAATAGTCAGCTGATTGTAGGGAATCGTGTGGTTTCCCTGCATACAAAATAACACTGATGTAAAACATGTGACTATTATTATTACTGATCATGTGATTTCACACGGCTAACTATTAACAGACTTTATATACTTACATTTTATTTCTTGTATTTCCTGTCTATGTTTTATTACATGGTCACAGTAGAAAAACCTGTGGTTTTTCTACTGTGACAAGCCAAAATGTCTGCTGTGAGAAAAACTCTTTAATTAGGCTGAGATCAATACGCAGGATGAGTTTAAGAATTCCTTTACACATGTACAGAGTGTGTGCATGTGTGAATAACATCACCTACCTACCTTCCAGCATCTTTCGATATCGACACAGCCACCCCGATGTCAGAGTCATTGACCCTTTTGCAGACTGTATCCATGTCCAGGACTGAGTTGATGCACTCCGGGCCGTTCTCCATGCAACACTGGGAGGCTGGGCAGAAGCTGCAGTTATCCAGGCGTTTGTAACCCATGTTGTGGCCACACTGCTCCAGAGTGACTGTTGTAGCTAACCCAGAAACACCAACATGGACGACTAACTGCTCAGACGACCACCAAAGACAGAGTTGGCAAAGGTTAGTTAGTGGAAGAATGATTGATGGATTTTATCAATATTTCATATACAGTGTGATAGAAATGTGTGTTTAATGTACAGTATGTGTATTTCTTTGAATACCTGTGGCTGGTGCTCTCTCCACAGTGATGGCAGTAGGCTCTGAACAGCCTGGTATTCAACAGGCACCTCACACACATAGAGGTCCACTGCCTCACCCAGCCCTAATCGCTCCAGTTCCTGTGGGCGAACACACAGTAGCCTTTATACAGCCCTTGACTGCAGTTACAGACCCGCAATAAACAAAACTCCATGGTCATTAAAGGCCACATTTTGGTAAAGCTTAAAGAACAAAAACTGAAGTGACACCTTTGTTCAGTAAGGACAATCTGATCACCCATTACCTGCACTGCCACCCAGCTGGAGTTGACTGCATGCTCTCCAAAAGGCTCAAAGCCTGCAGACAAAAAACCAAAAAACAATGTACATAAATTATCAGGCAGGATTCGTCACTGCAGCAGTGGTTTAATAGTGTAGCAGGGTGAATAAAAAGTCACTGAAGATGCTTATCTGCCATGGAGAGACGTGATAAAGCTGAATATAAAAAGGACTCTAAGTCTAAAGGTTGCATCAAGTTAAACATTAATTGTAGGAGTCAAGCACATGATGCGTGCGTAATGAGTCAAGACACGGGATGTATCCTCTCTCACAGCTGACCAGTCAGGGAGATTTGTGCTTTCTGTTTCCTTCTCTCAACCAGGAGACAAAACTCTTCTCTCCTGACAGCAATATTATTGTATTATTTCATAACCGTTGTTACATATTTATAGCATAAACACAATCATTCAATCATTTTAACCAGATCAACTGTGCAGCTCAGCCACGAGCACAAAACTCTTGAGATGTAACAGTAACATAAGTAACATAAAGAAATCAATTGAGAGAGATCTGCCTCCCTCCACTCCCGTTAGCAAATAAAACCTCTCACCTGTTACTATTACTTTCTTCTTATTGGCCATTATCCCCAGTTCTTAAGACAACAATAGTCATAGATTTTAAATATGGGGATCAAATATCCCACACTGGAATCGCAGGATTGTCTGCGCTGGCTGCTGTCTTCTTCTGGTTCACTGCTCAAAGGAAATGACACACAAAACCTGAACAGATTATACTGCCATCTACTGTACGGGCATGTATCCAGCCACCACAGTTCACAGTAAGAATTGATTTTTTTTAAAGAGAGAGAGAAGAAGAATATTCAAGAAGTAGCATTGCTTAAATTTTTTTGCATGAGGAGACAGGTCTTTGTTTAGGAAGCGGCAGGAGGGAATGAAAACTGATCTTTTTAAATCCAAGATTTTTTTCTTTTTTTTTTTTTTTTTTAATGAAATAGAACATAACTGAAGCCACATGTGTATACTGACAGTGCAGAGCAAGCATCTGCAATGCATTCATAGATTAAAGGTTAGGGAAGAAGATTTAATTGAATAAAAAGCAGCCTCCCCTCTCTGAATAAGACCGGTTGAGAGTCCTCCATGAATGAACATTTAACCCCCAACCAGCTGCCCGATTGGAGCTGCTCAGTGGTGTCACTGGGCAGGTGTGAATGTATGCACTGTGGCGGCGTGAGTGCGACACAGGGCGTTGCTGAACATGTTATTCTCTCCCGGGAGAGTTCAGGTCAAAGGACACTTCTCCAGCTGAGGGGGGGGGGAGAAATTGTACGTTGCATAACCTCTGACACACTCCATTACCTGAGTTCTGCTTCATAGTTTGTTGTCATGAAGGCCGAGCTAATCTAATATCGTTTTACAGGAACAGATTTTTTTTTCATACCCGGTGCACTCTGTGGTCCACGCCCCTGGGTTGCGAAATGACTCACACATTCTGGACACTACACCCTGTGAGGCTCCAAACTGGCATAGAGGAGAAAACATCTTTTTTTTTTTTTTTTTTCTTGGAAGAATATTATGAGGTGAACGTTTCAGACAAACAAAACCGTTCTTTTATCCATGTTAGAGTCTCTAGGGTTACAGAATCAACATTGATTTATGCCTCTGAACCACATCACACACAATATCACACCTACTCCAACCACCTACACATCCTGCACTGCAGTTGCTAACAGCCTCTGCTTCTCCTTCCTCAACCCATTCACCTTTCTCTCTCTCTCTCTCACTCGCCTGCGTCACTAGCTGTGTCCGTGTTGCCATGGAAACTAATGATGCCCTCTCTGCTGTGTGGTGCTGATGCAGACAGTCTGCTGACGTCCTCGCTGTGTATGGGTGGAATAACAATATCCTACAGTAGTTTCCATCATGAAGCCAGACTCAGGGCCTTATATACTGCATAGTGGATGAACACTGTGATTGACTGTTTAAAGAATATTGTAGCAGTCATACTGTAATTCATGTTGTGAGATAATTCCTTTTTCTATTCTATTCTATTTTCTCTATTCGTCTCTTCGGTTCTATTCCATTTTCTTTTCTATTCAACTACTATTTAAATAGCATTATTATGAATGATTTCTTTCTTCATTTTGTAAAACTCTATACATATGTTTAAATGCTTTGTGTTTCATTGTTATGATGACTAAAATCTATTTTTGGAAGGCAGAGGACAGCATCCATCAGCCACAGCCGCTGAAACCATGAGAACACAGTGTGTTTGTATTTCAGCAGCCACTGGTGGACATGTCAGTACATTAACTTCTTCACATGATAAACTTTCAGTCACCAAAAACACATGGTTTCCTCATTCTACTGTCACTGTTTCCTTCCCTTTTCTCGTTTATGCTCTCTTTCCCCAGAAGAGTTTCATCTTGAGGCGTCACAACCCTTTGTTTATTTCAACTCTCTTTCTTTTAGTCTTGTTTGTATGAAGGTTGTGTAACTACTGATCCTTACAGAGCTCCAGTAAGAGGTGTTAGCATTGTAGCCTAAAGTCTGATGAATAACTCTTTGAATTGACTTTAAACTTCAACCCATAAAATCTGACTACTCCTATTCTATTCTATTCTATTCTATTCTATTCTATTCTATTCTATTCTATTCTATTCTATTCTATTCTATTCTATTCCATTCCATTCCATTCCATTCTATTATTTCTATTCTATTCTATTCCTTCTTTAATAGCTGCTTTAGCCTGAGCTGAAGGAGTATTTTCTGTAAGGCCTGTTCCTCTGTTCTTCCTTTCCTTGGCCTTCGCCTCTTACACCTTCCCCGCCCAGTCTCTGCTCTCTTTTTGGCGACCCTGAGCTTTTTTATGCTATGACATCAAACCACAATGCATTGCACTGTTTGTAGTTTACCTAGAGTCTCCATGGCAATAAAGACCGGTTCGGCCCCTTATTCAAATTGAACCGGAAACCAACGTCATTTTGGGCCAATCTCCGCGCTCTGGAGTGACATAATGGAATTTTTAGGGGTAGAAAGCGAGCGAGGTCTGGCGCTGCGCATAGCAGTCGTGCCATCAGGAAAAGACAATCTCATCCACGCGCAGGAGAGACACATCAGAGCCCCTCAGGCACAACAACAGCTGAAGTGGTCGACTCACAGAGTGGCTGATACAACACAAGAAGGAGATAAGGAAGCAGGATCATTTAAAAATAAGGATCAGCTGATTTCCTCATGTCTGGATGTGCCTGGTCAACAGTCGTTAATGCGTAACGCTCAACACTCCCTCATGTGAGGGTGTAGAATGGAAACAACCCTCTACCCAGGCACCGAGGTGAATACTCCGAGGGTTCCCAACATCTATTCCCAGACCACGATGATGAAAAAGGAAATTAATCTGAACCTGGACGACCAGAACTCCGAGCTAAAATCAAACCCGCTCCGGGATACAGACGGACTTCTCAACTCACCGGACTTAGGACTCTTGAAACTAACCTCTCCGGACCTGGAGCGCCTTATCATCCAGTCCAACGGTCTGGTCACCACCGCCACCAACAACCCGACTTCCCAGTTCCTCTACCCGAAGTCTGCCAGTGACGAGCAGGAATTCGCGGAGGGTTTCGTCAAGGCGCTGGAGGATCTTCACAAGCAGAACCAGCTGAGCGAAGCGGGCTGCGTCTCCGTGGATAGACTGGAGCTCCTCGCCTCATCCAACGCAGTCGGGTCCGCCGGGCTTCAGACGTCAGACCTTCCTGTATACACTACTTTGAACGGCTATGCGGCTAGTCCGCTCGGTGGCACCACCATCAACTACTCCACGGACACCATCCCTTTCCCGCCGCCTCCGTCTCATCTGGCCAGCGCGCAGCAACAGGCGGCCGCTGCGGCTGCTCTGTCACGACTCCATTCTGCCGGTGTGAAGGACGAGCCTCAGACGGTACCAGACATGCAGAGCTTCGGAGACAGCCCTCCCCTGTCTCCCATCGACATGGACAACCAGGAGCGCATCAAGGCGGAAAGGAAAAAGCTGCGAAACAGGATAGCCGCCTCCAAATGCCGCAAAAGAAAACTGGAGAGGATCTCTCGGCTGGAGGACAAGGTCAAGACCCTGAAAACTCAGAATACCGAGCTGGCATCCACAGCCAGCGTCCTCAGGGAGCAAGTGGCCCAGCTGAAGCAGAAGGTGATGAACCATGTCAGCAGCGGATGCCAGCTTTTACCAAACCAGGTCCAAGCTTATTAAATCCCAGCAATGGTGCTTTTCATGGATGTTTTTCCAGCTCTAAATATGGTCTGAGGACACAGGCCTGTACTTTGAGGAACATTCGCCTTTTGTAACCTAAAATCCTCATCAGAGACTTCACGTGTGGCCATTGTAAATGCACCTTCCAGATACAAGGCTGCAACTGAAAAAAACATTTGCACTGCACTGTATGGAGATGAACAGGCCTTTGATGAGAGCTGCAGGTCAACTGGAAAAAGACCAGCAGCAGGTATGAGCTGCAGCGTCCTCTGACTCATGGAACTCTGGCAGTGTTTTGCAGCCAACAGACTTATTTTGTCGCCCTAATTTTTGGGAAGCCATGTAGCAAACTGCTATCCAGTGGACTGATGTGTGATAGCATTTATCTGTGTGTAAGCTGGACAATCTCAATAAGAGTGCAACCAAACACCGGGGTGTCACCAAGTGCTGTCATCCACTGTGTAATATAATGCCTTACTTGTTTACAAGCACTTAGCAATGACAAATATATCTATTTTATTTACTGAAACATTTCTTATTTTACATATGGTCTTATTTCTAGTTGTTCCTCTTATTTTGCAAAAATGAACACTGCATGTCTTGTCGCTTTTGTGTACAGTAACCATTGTATTTTTCATTATGGTGGCTGCTGTGTAGTTCTTCAGTCACCACACTTCCATGAATGTATGTGTACGTACTGAGAAACCATATGTATCCATGTGTAATGGACTTTCAAGTCTACTTGACATTTATTAAATTCACTACATTACTACAGCTCATGTGTTTTGTTTCTTACTAAGACGAGGGGGCTCTGCTTGCTTTATTATAGTTAGAAGGAACATTTCGAGAGGATAAATGCATCATTTTAAACCTTCACATTTCTCTTTTCATGCACAGTTGACACTGTGGGTGTTGTATTAAGTGCAGTAGAGAAGCTGAACCAAACCATAGATGGTCAAACAACTCTCAGGGCAAAAGAAAACATTAATGCAGTATTATGCCCTCTGCTGGGCACAATAACATTTTCTCTACACCATTTCCGATACATCACATGTGCTCTTCTTGTAAATCAGACCTTTTGGAATAACTGTTGTACCGACGCAGAACTCCAGCATTTAGAATGTGTTTATTGATTCCTCATTTTAGCAAATCTGGCATTACAGAATTACAGCACAATTCACACAACTAATACCCGACGGGCAGAAAATTCCTATTTACAAAGGTTATTTATGACAAGGAGGAGGAGAAGGAGAGTTGAACGGGATCGATACGTGTTCCTAAATCATGGGCAAGTTTACAGCTGTAGCAAAACACAATAAATAAAGTAACAAAAATCAACAAACAAGTCAAAAGTGAACCAATGCAGTAAGAATCATCACTTTTTAAATGAAGTGTTCAGCGTATTCAGTTTACTTCCCAAAACATTTCCCCCTTTGTGAATCTTCTGCACTGAGCAGGAATGCTGTAGCCAAATTTGTCAGCGGAAAACTGACAAATATGTGACTAGAAACGCACTCAAAGAGCACAGTCCTCCGCCAAGACCAATGTCAAACAACATACACCAGACTTCAGAGAAAATAATTCAAATTCATAGTAAATGATCCAGATCCAGCCCCAAAACCTAATTGCTTCTTTTCTGGCCCATACCCCACGCGTCTTCAAAGTTCGGTGCAAATCCGTTCACTACTTTTTGCATAATCCTTCTGACAAACAAACAGACACGGGTGAAAACATAATCTCCCTGGTAACAACCACTCTTTTTGGCTCTAAATTTATTGTCGAGAACTCTTTGGAAAGAACAGTTATTACGACCGTCTTAATACAAACTGTACATTCACACACCCACATACAGTACGTGTGTTACAAACCTCCAGCAGGGTTGTATGTTGCTGATATTTGGGTGTGGAGAGAAAGAACTGCTATTGCTCTGTGAGAACAGTCGGCTTGTACACTACCAAGTCTTAAAAGTTACATAAGCGATATCAAAAGACAAACAAACTTCCCACCAAAGCCGCATGAATGTGATAAGAGGCTCTTACACTGGAATGTTTAACTTTTCCTCTTGAGGAAGCATGTCAAGCTTTGTACTCACTGTAAACACAAATACATTTTCATTTAAAAGCTGGAACAGTTTAAGCAATCGAATACTATTGAACATCTCTTTAAAAAGTCAAGTGCAGATTGCAATGCATAATCTAGGAAGAACACTATCTTAAAAATAAATTAAGTTATAAATAATACAAAATAAATAAGTTGTATTCTGAAAAAAACTTAGGTGTTGAAAATATTTTCGCATGCCTCAGCACATCTGTGAACGCATGATTTACAGAAGGTTTTGTACTGTATACACAAGCAGACAAATCCCTAACCTTAGCATCAGAGAGAGAAATAAAACTCACAATTTGACATTTAACATGCTTAAAAACATCATGTCCCCCCCCCCAAAAAAAAAAATAAAGATGAAAACATCACCTTCACTGACATACTGCAAGAGACGATCTGGATGTTGATGGAGATGGCGGCTCTGTGGGTGTACCAGTGCTCACACTGAATCACATGCCTTTCTAGTGAGTGCATGGTGCACGTTGTATGCAGTGAATGAAAGTTAATACAATGACAAGAGGCCACGGGCTTAACATGTGAAACCTTTAGCCCCATTTGGTACTGAAACTGTAGGACAGGACGGGTTTTAAATTCAGACAGCAGCTCATACAAATAACCATCCAGTCAACCATCACTGGTTAAAAACATCAACATCATGCACCTCTCACTAAAGCACAGGTAGGAATCCAATATCCTAAATCAGTTGGATTGTATATGTTCATTATATATGTATTTATATTATATATGCATTTGAAAAATGCACATCTATTGACTTTTAAACATTTATACACTCTTCTCCGTGTGGTGAAAGACATCCCTTATCCCTTGATTTTGTCATGTCTTAAAAAAATAACAACAAAAGTAAAAAAAAAAGAAAGAACTAGAAATCAAAAAACTAGCAGCCCCCGAGGCTCCGCAGCTCCTTTCACTGGACCGAGCTGGTTTTAAAGGCTGGACAAACCATGCCATCCATAGAGCACACTTGCCAACAGAAATGTTATAAAATCCTATAACAATGTAATGCAACTAGCAAACTGATATGTGTGACATTTGCTATTCCTGCATTCATTCCTAAAATCAAATGTAAGACAAACCTTGAAATGACCCTGTTTGGACGCCAAACTTGGACCGTAATTATCTGTAGAAACTCAATCACACCACGGGGAAGGACGGGAGATTTGACATGCTCAAAACCACACCCAACCAACTGAAAAATGTTTTTAAAAAAAAAAACATCAACTCTATCCACAGCAACAAACATATATTCTCAATGGGACTAAAAGATAAAACAACTGCAAATGATTTGTATCCATTTAGGATTTTAGGCCTTGGTGCCGAGTGGGACCAGGAGAATGTCCCACCTTCAAAACCTTTACCAGTTAAACCCCAATTGTGAAATTGCCAATAAGGAATGATGGAGTCTCAGCCTTGACTGACCTTTCATAATTCTGCTAATAACAACAAAAGTGTGTGTGTGTGTGTGTGTGTATGTGTGTGTGTGTGTGTGTGTTTGTGTGTGCGTACTGTATGTGTACACGTATGAAAGAAAGAGGATTGGATTTAGGATTGTTGATGCTTTTGTGTAACTTTCTTCACCCCTCTGACTAAATTACCACTATCACTTATTTCCTGTGACACAAAATGAACAAAAACTTTCACTTTCACCTCTGAAAACACCTAAATCTTTGAAGAAAGCCAGCTCATGTGGATAGTGTTCGTGGTGTAGTGAGAGGGGTGGAGAATTAAAGCAGCCAGATTGTGTGACTCTGTATGGCAGTGTTTGTGTGTGATTTATTTGTGTATATGCTTATGAGAAAGAAAGACAAAGCCAGAGACATACTGAAAAAAAACAAGGTGTGTGGATTTTAGGACAGCAGACTGTGTGTGTGTGTGTGTGTGTGTGTGTGTGTGTGTGTGTGTGTGTGTGTGTGTGTGTGTGTGTGTGTAGCAGTGTTTAGCAAGCACAATCCTGATGGGACCTCTGAGGCTGCTCAGTGAGCTGTGGCCCCTGTTTAGCTCCGGTGATGGTCGGGTCATTGTTGTCCAGACTCTCCGACATCCTCTCACAGATGATGTCCACCAGCCGCTCGAAGGTCTGCTTCACATTAATGTTGTCTTTGGCGCTCGCTTCAAAGTACTCAAAACCTGCCAGGAGGGGCGACAGAGGCAGAGAGAGCCTATGGTTACAATTATTGTTCCAGTGTGGAGCTTATCCAGTTAATCCACTTATCTCATCAAGTCAGGACACATCCTCCACATCAGATTTGTGTAAGTATTTCTAAATGAAAACTATTCGTAAATCTTGAAAACAACTAATTCCATGTTTTCAGATCTGGTGGTTTGAAATTGTCTAATTAGAGTCAGATTCTGTATGATTCGATGACTATACTCTGACCACTCAGATCGCAATTGACAGATTTTCGAGGTTACAACTTCCAAAAGAAAGAGCAGAAAATAACAACTTGTCAAAAAAAGAATTAAAAAAAAAAAGCTGCTATCTGGTTTCTTTGTGCCTCTGCAAGTTTCCTCATCAAGACTGTAGTGCTGATCATTAGACCTCTTGTCTGTCACATGCTGCACGTTTGCACTCATGTTAGTATGGCTGACTTGCATAGCTGCCTTTTTATTTGTGATATACAGTAACTGCTGCCAGAAATGTTGTAGTTTCAAACTGTGAAATTCTGTAATGTAGCGAGCTGAAAAGTTTAAACATGAAATACTGTACAGTAAGTATTTACAGTATAATAAACAAAACTACAAATTACAACCCCTTAAATGACCACTAAGTTGAACCAAACCTAACAGTCAAAACATAACCTCAGCATTATGAACTGTACTCATTTTTATCTACATCATTTAGTCATCTACCCTAAACAACGCTATGTGTCACAATTGTTTATAATTTTCACTAATTCTCCCAGGAGAGGAAGATAAACACCAGGGGAGGGACAACAAAAGAGTCATCATATCCAGTTTTCTTTTGTGACCAGCTGACTTACCCAGCTGTTCTGACAGCTGCCGGCCCCTCTCTGCAGCCACCACGCGTTCATCCTCCATGTCACACTTGTTCCCCACCAAGAGCACCTGAGCATTGTCCCATGAGTATGTCTTGATCTGGGTCGACCTGTTGGCAGATACAGTACAGGGTGCTCAGCTACATGGACCAACTCAATCTCATAAGTGTGTGTAATTTCCTACAGGTTCCAGTTTTTCAGAAAGCACTGGATCAAAGTGGCACAGTGCTCCAACAGATCATGCTTCATCTGCATTTTGTCAACGTAAAAATGAAAAATGAAGAGATCTTTTTTTTTTTTTTTTTTTTTTTTAAACAATCATTATTCCTGTTGGTTATGATGCCATTTTAATTACTGATTCCCTGAAGAGGTGTGGGAAAATGGTAGAGGCATTAGTAATAGCTTCACAAGAGTTAACAAGGCAACATCACACAAGCAACCAGACAGGTTTCAAACAAGTCAGGTTTAATGCAATTACCTGAACAAATAATTCAAACCACTCATTTCTGTTGTGCTTCTTTCTGTTTCAACTTTGACGTGCAAACACACAATTTAACAGAGTGACAGATGATTATAATGGACATTATTTATGCCTTGATCTGTCTCATGAAAACAAGTGCTGCATAATTATTTCAAACCAACTTGTCTGAAACCTGTTCGACTGTCTGACGACTTCTGAGGTTTCACTATGTCTCGAACTTGCAACAGCTGATCTCAGAAATGCAGCTGTGGGAAAATATGGTACCAACAACAACAAAGCTGAACAAACTTCAAGAACTGAGACTGTCAGTTGTTCATTTGCCGCCTTCATACACACAGACATGCATACTCAGTTGTCCCTCACCAGTCTTGCACAGCGTTGAAGGACTCCTCGTTGGTGATGTCATACATGAGGATAAAGCCCATGGCTCCCCTGTAGTAAGCTGTGGTGATTGTCCTGTAGCGCTCCTGGCCAGCGGTGTCCTGAACAAAGACACATGAACACCTTTGTTTTTACTCAACTGTTATTTTGGAGTATATACAGCATTACTGTTGGGACAAGAGGAGTTTGACATTCAGACGAAGACATACACAAAAATATATCACAACAAAGACAACGATCTTCCATCTTCATGCCCATGTAGACTTTAAGAAGCATTGGTAACAAGACAGCAGAGTGCAGGTATTTTTTTTGTCTTGTCGTGAAGATAATTGTCACAGAGCACCTGCAAACAATTTATGGCTGTGCATGTTCCTCCTGATGATTGTCTCTGTTTAACATTCAGCCAAACTCACATGAGCATTAGGTATTCCTCTGGTGTCGCATGTAATAAGCAATTGGTTCCAGGGTCAGGCTTTATGGCTCATGTTAAGTGCACTTCAAGGGTATTGCCATTACACAGCAGATGAAGTGATTCTGGGGACTGGAGAGGCCAGTTTAACAGCTGGGAATCATTAGGGATACATGATAACAGAGACCGCTTAAGTCACAGATGTGAGGGGCAGCATGAAAAACATGCATTCCTTTCAAGATGATCTGCAGGTAACAACGAAATCCGCCTTAACTCTGGTTAACCACATTTAGTTTTTTGCAGGCTTGTTGAATTATAAAAACTGTGGAGCTGAACCAATTAGTCAAATTAAACCAATTAATTAACCAATTAGTGTCAAACATTATCTGTTTGCAGCCTCCCCAATGTGAGAATTTGCTGCTTTTCAGTGTTTTACATCATTGTAAACTGAATATCTTTGGGTTTTAGACTTTTTGTTGGACAAACATTACATTTGAAGACGTCACCTTGAACTATAGGAAAATGGACTGGATGCTTTCTCACATTTTATAGACTCAATGATTATTTGAGAAAATTATCGGCCGATTAGTTGTTAATGAAACTGATGGTTAGTTACAGGCTTATACTGTGTCAGGGATGTCCCTACTGTTCAAACCTGCATCTGAATTGTTCGTGAACACAGACTATTTGAATCCTATGCAAACCTGTAACAGCAATTCTAACATTAAAGAAACCATTAAGAGTAAAGTGGTGTGCAGACTGCATTTCCTTATTTCATATTTTGCTGTCAGACACCTCTAAATTGTACTGTGAGCCTACTTTAGGCTGAGGGTGCACCACATCATAATATTATGGAAGGAAATATCAATATCAGATTAGACTTTTGTATCAGCAGATACAGAAAAAAACAGAGAAAACACTGATTGTGAAATGTGTGCTAATTATGTGACATACATAATACAAGTGTGTGGCCATAGACCAGAGACGACCACAGACCACCTGTTGCACACTTTAATGGAGCCTGATTCTAGACAGCACAGTTCAGGACCATGGTATTTAATGCAGACCACAGATAAAACAAAAAGCAGCAACAAACAAAGCAAGGTAAAATTGATTTTTTTTCCCAAATTTTGAACGAGTCCAGAGTGAGTACCAGCAACAGAAAAACGCCTGTTTTTCTTATTTTTCCACATTTCTTGTCCCCGTCAGAAACCCTGCTCAACCTGCTCTTGGAACCACGAGACAATCTGTACCTGACAACCTCAGCACATCTGTAAGCATGTAATGTATGGGTCCACTTCCTCACCCAGATCTGCAGTTTTATCCTCTTGTCGTTCCTGTAGATGGTCTTAACCTTGAAGTCGATGCCCACTGTGCTCACAAAGGCTGGTGTGAATGAGTCATCTGCATAGCGAAAAAGGAAGGAGGTCTTTCCTACGCTGCTGTTGCCGATGATGAGGATTTTAAACATGTAATCAAAGTTCTGGTCCGATGACTCCTTCTGTCCGTATGTGGCATTTGCAGACGCCATCTATGCAAGGAAAGAGATCACATTTTGATAAGCTTTCTTATTTATATAGGCTGGAGAAAATAATAGAAACACTTTACAATACAACATCACCAACACAAAATACTGTCACAAAAATAAGAAGTTGAATCCAAGCCTGTCTGATATTATCTGCAAAAACTAAACATTATATAAACGAAGGCAGGGTTTACAGTAGAGCTGCTGTATTTGATTCCATCAAATTGTGCAGGTACTGCATTCATGACATTGTGTTCAACCCTTGTAGCTACAGTGTCAAGTCAACATGTCATGTTTGGTGTAAATGATTGGTGAAAATAAACAAGGAAAATGTAGTCTTGCCTCTACCATTTTATAAAATGTTACTATTCTGTTTAAGGACATATGACAGATTAACATACTCTTTGTCAATTGGATATATAATTTTGTATTCATACTCATTTTGTTTAGAATTCTATATGGATAGTTAATAAATAAAAACATCAGTTAATTTACAAACCACATTGCAACCACATTCAACAGACATGAAAGAAGGAAACTACTGATGCAGAAAAAAACCAGATCAAACCTCTGATAGACCTAGAAACATCTTCTGAAACTATTTTTGACTGACACAGCAGATTTGGATATCCGTTGCCTGAGCTATATCCTGACATCAACAGCTCTGAACCCCAGAGATCTTAAACACGTGTGGATAAAAGTTATTAAAATAACATGCAACAATTCTGACTTTAAGTCAAAGGTTGACATAGATAATACAAGGATTGAAGAACAAATGTGAGTATTTTCTCCTCTTTTTCAAGACTAAGTTCCTGTCGAATATGTCGAATATCAAATTCATTTAATGGGCAGATTGATTATTTTGGGTTGTTTTGCTCTCAGAAACAGCTCATCAGCATTCTTTATACAGACAACAGGAAAAGGCGTCTCAATTCATATGCCACGGTAAAAACAGCCTTACCCCACTCCATATGGTTCCCCAACAGTCTCACTGACATGGCTTTATGAGGGAATAAAATGATATGGCCGTTTCGCCGAGAGGCTGTGTCAATACAAACAGCCAATACCCTCTCACTGCCTTGAGTGTTCCCACTTCATGTCAATAATACTGGTCGGACAAAGAATGCATACCTCCGCCCGACGCGAGATAAGAGGACGGAAGCACCGGGGCTTAGCAGGCTAAGCATCAGCTAAACTGACTATCCCTTCCCATCCAGGGAGGGCAGGGAACCTCCGAGGAGCAGTAGGCTAGCCGCACAATTATGAATGAACCATATGGTTGGTCAGAGTTTGAATCGCTGGCCACAGTAAATTAGAGAAAAACAGATAAACTGTCCACGACTGTATAAACCTGAACACAACATGCTCCCAATTTAAACGGCCTAAACCACACCATCTATCCACGGAGGAGCTTATCTGGCGTTAGCCTGCTGGTAGTGAATATATAGCTGAAACAGTCTGTCTCAGGTTAGCTGGAGAAAAACCGAGAAAATGCACAACAAGGTGTTTTTTTATACAGTACTACTCGCCTAAAATAAAGATCAAGTGACGGCTACAGAGATGGAAGCAATGCAGATAAAAATGCAGTTTTTACCCTTATAATATGCATGTAATTAGGCTAGCATCGCTACCTTTAATGCTAACTCGACGTACCGTTACCAGTATTTAAAAGTGGCAGCAGTAGCTAGCTAAGCATCCCAGCTATGTCAAATGAAGGTTACTCTTCCCTATTTACGACTAAATTTTCAATCTAAATCCCAGAGCTCATAAGCAACAAATTATCCGTATGCCATCTGTTGCTACTGTTCGACTTAACACAGCCCCACAATGACAAATAAGCGCAGGATTTACCTTGAAATGTGTGTTTTTTCCCTCGGCTTCGTTGCAGCGGCTAACCCAGAGCCCAGCTTTGCACCTGCAGTAGCTCGTGCACCTCTTGATTGACAGCTCTGGCATAAGCGGGTGCAAACAGAGCGTGAGGAGGATTGGCAAGATGACTGACCAATCAGTGAGCAGAGACCGCCCATTCACACAGAGCCCCGCCCCAACCCAAATTCATTCTTATGAATAGAATAAACTGTTATAAAAAGCAGTTATTAAAAAAAACTAGTTGACTCATTAATGATCAAGGTGATAAAAACAATGTTAAGCAGATGTTTTGAGAAGTTAAAAGGGGCAATATTTATTTAAAAATATGCAGGACCCTTTTTGGTTTCTGCATCATTATAGATGTTACATTATTGGATAAAGATACCATAAATACAGATGCATTAACATGTTAGCAGTATGTATTTAAACTTTTAGCTGCTATAAGGGGGAGCAATTTTTTTTATATATATATATATATATATTTTTATATCCTGTTAGGTAGTTTAACATTTGAAGTAATATAATACGCTCAAATAAATGTGGTGGAGTAAATAGTGCAAGATTTCTCTCTGAACTGTGGTCGGATAGAAAAATAGAACTAAATAGAAGTACAAGTACCTTAAAACTACACCTAAATGTAGTCAATTTCCACTGCTGCTTAGCAACAACACTATTCCCTTTTAATTAATCTTACTGCTTGTAGCTTCAAGATAGTAAGGTTATATGATGTTTACACAAGTGAAATATAAAAGAAAAAAAGTAGACAACAAGACATCAAAGAGTGAAGAGTTTTTCCTTTATTGGCAAGGCATACAGTTCTAGTTGGAGGAGGGCTAACACACCCGCAGTTAAACAGCAGAGTTTGGATTGTCAAAGCTGCAGAGTCTCAGTTCATGAAACATGTTCATAAAATTTCTAAGAAAAGAAATACTGATCTAGGATGACTGTTGAGGCCGTACGACTAAATTATCTTCACTATGAATCAAAGAAGTCTCAGATCAGCACACTTACTGTAAGATCTGACCAGATCAGTGGACACAGAGGAAGACAAGGAAAGGAGAGATGTTTCAGAAAACCCAGACGGAAATCTGTCACTCAACTATTTTTATACCAAGAAAAACATGAAAGAGTATTTTTGCCTATGTATAATGTTAATTGCAGACATAAAGAAATGAAATGAAAAGGAAAAAAGCTGAGTAATAGTTGAAAATCTGTCCTGTTTGACTTTCTCACACATCAAGCTACACATAAGCACTAAACCTCAGACTAAAAAAAAGTCTACAGCTCCATTGTTTCTGACAGATAATATAGAAATAATAAATAAACTGTACATGAAGCTCTGTGAGGAAAATGTACAAAATCAAACAATTAGTGACACGCAGAGAGACAGACTGAATCTTTGCATGTTGTGCTGGTTAAGCAGTTGTTAAATAGTCCTTAGTGTTGAAGGCATCCTTGAGTGATGGTCTGTTTGTTGCTGTTTATGGCTACAGAAAGGATTGCACATTTTACTCCAGCATGTCAGTGAACACATCTATGACCAGGAAAAAAAAAATCCCAAGTTTGAAAATAAGGCGGCAAAAAAACTTTCAGCTCATTCACACATTAAAACATGATTTACTCTGTTTGACGGTAGTAAAATAAAATAAGTTTCTCCACAGGCTAAGTTTTGTAAGTACTCTATATACTCTTTATATTCTTTGAATCCTGCAACCAATGTCATGCATTTCAACACCTTTTTTTGTACAGTCAATTATAAAAAGAACAAAAAACAACTTCAGTCCCTCCAACATCCAACCTTTAAGAGCTGTAGTGGTCCAGCCCGTGCAATTCAACTCAATTACCAGGCCATTTGCCAACAGAAAAACAGTGAAACAGTCACATTATACATGTTCAACTGTACTGGAAGTGCAGAACTGTAAAAGTACCATACAAAGTGCTTTGGTTTTTTTTCTTAGCAAATACATCAAAAAGAGTCAACCCAGTCATTCAGACACACAAAAAACACATCACTGTTTTAAGACAATATCAGTTTCAGTTACTGTTTGAACAGGAGTTAGAAAAAAAAAAGGAACAGAGACACTAGGGTTAGATTGGCACACGGCGTGCTACAATCAACCAACTTTATCAGTCACTGATGGAAAGTAGCCAGTGGCAAAATGGAAATTACAGTACGGGTTGTGTCATGCTTGCTTGGCACTTGTTTTGTCATTGACTATGTCCCTGTGAAGAGCGAAATATTGATCAATGAGAGGAAAAAGATGAAAAAAAATTCTGGCACAGGAAACTATCTCTTGGTAACCTCCTGGATTTGTACAGTTACAGTGATGTGAACATCCATCTTTGCAGCATTTCTAATACACTGCCCTTATCAGTCTGCTAATTTATGCAAGTGAAATGAAAATCAGTATTTCACTAGATGGATGCTGTGTTTGACATGTTGTGTAGTAACAATAATGGATTTGCATGGACAGTGTTTTTTGCGAGATGTTTGTGCTGGTTGCTTTACAGTCAACGACAAACTGTTTCTCAGTCAACAGCCTCCAATGTGTTCATGTTTTGGCTCAAGCCCTTAAAAAACTACAATGAGGGCTAGCAGAGGACAAACCTGTAAAGTGCTAAACTTAAAGGCAAACTGATAAAATGGGTGCCAAATATTAAGAATGCAAACAAACGTTACTGACTTGAAATTTAAAAAAAAATCTAAACAAAAATTACAAAAAGAGCAACAAAACTGAAATGTAACTGATATTTTGGGTAGTCCTACAGTTAAATACGTTTTGAATGTATTTTCCACATAGGCCTATGCAAAACCATGCAAATCATTTGCTTCCAATGCCAGTTCAGTTCCACTTGTCGACACTGGGAGGCACCATGTGCACAGCCCACATTGCTTTAGATGTAATCCTATGATGGTACAAAACTACACTGACCCTGGCTCAGTTTTGTTGCTGACAATACCGTAGTTTAGGATTATAAAAAATGGAATTAGTTAGCCTGAAACAAGTGAAAATCTCAAAAGTAATATGTACTGCCAGCCCATTCATTTTAATCATATTCCTGTTCCAAAACAACTGCCTGCTGAACACAGTTAAACGAGCTGTGCAGCACGAGCTGAAAGGAGTGCTACGCATTCAACAATAATGATAGAGTCACTCAAAATGTTTGCTACATTTAAAGTGTTCTGCATAAAATCATGAACAGCTCCTTTCCGACATTACTTTGCTTGCACGGCATTGCTTCTACTTTTTACTGAATCTTCATTTACTGTATTCCATGATGTATGAACCTAAATAAAGGACAACGAAATAAACAAACAAAAAAACTAAAAACTTAAAAGGCAGGCAAAACAGCATTGTCCCTGTAAATTGCAAGTTTGGCAAGATGTCTTACAAGACTTTGTCGTGTTTTCACGGACATTCATCACTTCCTCACTTTCTTCAAAAATACTCCAAAAGAGGAAGACAGTTCTGTCATTAGTTTTTGTAGACCTTGGGTTGGCTGGTAGAAAGGGAAGTTTTTTTAAATATAAACTTCTCATTGTCTCTGTAGAACTTCATCCACAGTAAGTCTGACTGAAAGACACAGAACACAAAGGACCAGTCAGAAACTTGGTTTCCTGTCCTCTCTCAGTCTATCTGTCTCTCTCCAGTGCAAGTGACTGCTGTGTAAAACTGCAGACTTTCTTAAAACCCCCCAAACCCACCTGCACTCCCACACTCCGCACCCTGAGGCTTGCTGTCACCCTTTCCACGGAAACCAGAGGTGTTGGTGTTTGGTTGGAGTGGGAGAAGGGGAGTGACAGAGGATGAGGCACCAAAATCAAGAAAAAACAAAAAAGGCCAAAAGAAAAACAACTTTTGACTGGCGCTATGTGCCAAGTCTGAAGCGTGGTACCCCAGCGACGCCTTCTTGGTCTGTTTCTCTTTCTTCTGCCATATCTTTATCAGAGTCTAAAGAAAACGTCCTGCCTGAATCAGTAGTGAGCATTTTGGGGAGCCGCTGAATCTTAGCTGACACTGCATCAAATCCGCTACCAGAATCAGTTCTGGAGAGTTCAGACGCCCTCCTGCCACTGTAGCCCTCTTCCTCAGGTGGACTCTCAGTATCAGACTCTCCTTCTTCCTCTAAGGTCAACTCAAACTGGAACTTATCGGTGGAGGTGGAGCCACTGCCCCCACCAAGTGCTGAAGCTTCCCCTGCAAGGGCTCCCTCCTCCAGACCCTCTGGGTTGGGTGAAGGGCTGTGGGGGATCATGCTCTGGTACCACTCTCTGTTATCCTCTAGTGTGTCCAAGATCTCCTGAGCATCTGGGTGGACCAGGTCAGCCCACGTCTCCCATAGAGGATGAACAATGTAGTCAATGAAACCCACCTGGAAGAGAGAGGAAAGAAGTCATATATATGTATAAAGGGATTTCACTTTTTCTTTCAGTCCCTTTTTTTATTGAATTTTCTTCACTTCATCTCTATTTCAATTTAACACTTTGTAATGATTTACAGTAGATTTCTCTGCTGTACCTGGTTCTTCTCTATGGAGGCGTTGTGTTTGTCACACATGGGGCTGATCTCCATGCCCTTGTCCCGCTCTCTGTCCCCCTGGGTGAAAAACTCCACCATGATGCGGTCCGTCCACTGTCGGTACAACTCAAGAGGCTTGGTGGGGTTACTCAGGTCTGCACAGTGCACCATGTTCTGAAGAACCTGCCGTGACAAATCAACAGTGTGTGAGTATCAAATAAAGTATATTAATCTCATTTATTTTTTATTAATTTTGTTTTAATTAATGGCAAAATGGTTCTCACTTGTATGCGGTCTGAATAGTTGTCCAAGAGCAGGACTCCTAGACTGGTGACTTTCTTAGTCTCCACCATGGTTTTCAGGTCTGCTAATAGGTTCATATGTTTAGACATATCTGTGGCCAGCACCTGCGAGAACATCAAATTAATTCACTGTTTAAAGACGATTCTTAAGGTAGAAACAGCGCTGTGTCTACGGTCTAACGAGTCCTATCAAAACTGTCTTACCATGTCGATCACCATTTTGCGTAAGGACTGCCTCTGTTTTTTGCTGAGGTTCTGAAAGATGTCACAGTTGTCTTCCTGCAGAAGCTTAAAGCCTACGGCCAGGTGGTGATTCTCCAGCACCGAAGAGTCATTGTACATCAGCGCCAGCTCTGAGTCTGAAGGCAAAAGGGCGAGACAAAGTTTACACACAGCACTGTAAACCACCTGACTGTCACATTCTACACAGACACGTGTTTACAGCCACCTCATCCACGTCGTTAAACACGCTCAGCACCCACACACGTTCAATAATCCCTGTGGAGCTATGCAAACTCACTGGTGTTGATGAGAAACTGATTGGAAACTCCAGGGTGATCCACATCGTGGATGCCGCTTGCAAACAGAGCGGCAAGGATCTCCAGATCAGTAAACACAGCCTTGGACAACACACAAAAGTAGTGAAAGGAGAGTCAATATGTGGTGTTTGTGTGTGTAGCTTCAGCTGAAGTTTGTATATGCTCTTTCTGTTGGATGAATGAGCGTGACTGTCTACCTCCAGTGCAGGTGTGGACAACAAGACGTGTGTGGACTGGACCACGTCGGCAGCATGGATGTTGTTGTGGTAAGCCACATCAGCATGGTAATGATCCTCCAGAGTCATCATGAAGGTAATGAAAGTGTCTGCAGGAATCTTAAAGGACTTGAGCAGCTCGCGTTCCTACAGTGGCAGGAGAGGAGGAAGACATCACACACTGGGTCAGTCGAGGTAAAGATCAGTCATTTACTAAAAATTTGTTTGTTACGTCATTGTTTCATTCATTCATTTACTCTCTTGTCCATTCATTTACTGTGCCAAGTGTTTGAGGTTATGCAGTAGGAGGACCACACTCTGTCTCAGAAAGGTAGAGTATGTTGAGATGTTTCACCTGGAAGATGGTGTACATGGTGACCGTCAGTGGCCGATTGCCAGAATACTCAGAGACCTTAAAGATGTCGATGCCCCATCTGTTTATGTCGTCCAGCTCCTGCCAGTGAACAATATATATCATTACAACATGCTGTACAGGGGAGAACATATAGAACCAGTTGCATTGAGGTGATAAATTAAGTGTTGAACTAGTCCTGGTACCTTGGCTAGGAGTCCTTCCTGGCTGGCGTTGACCCCAAAGCGAGGGATGGTGGAGGGGGCGAGGCTGGGGCTGTGGGTGGCCTTCTTCACACCACTGATCTGGGACATGGGCCGCTTCTTCTTGTCCTTCTCCTTGGTGGGGGGAGACATGATGTCCATGTCATGTTGCTTCTCTATCAGATGGAAACAGACAAACTAGTAATGTAGATCAAAATTGTGCAAGCTCTTGATAAACCCGTCCACTTTCATTTGATTTGATTTACATGTAAAGGTATATACTGTATATGTTTATGTACAGCTTCTGTATTGTACAAGGTAGAGGTGTTTTACCTAGGAAGGTACTAGAGATGAACTCAGACACCTGGTTCCCTGAACGGCTGGTTTCTGACAGCTGGGTGAGCTCTCGGTTCAGCATCCTCTTGAACTGGGGACACAAACACACGATACAAGCATCCATGAGTCTGTGCTTAAAGTGAAAGTGATTTTCTGTAAAGTGAATCTTGACTCCCTGCTGCAGCAAATGTCACCCTGAATATGCTGAGGATTAAACTTTTCTGTAAAAAGTATCTCACTGTCATTTAAACACAGACAACCATTAGCTCTGCAGAGGAAACACATTAACGGAGTAATCTACCAAGAATGGTTATATCAACAAGACCTACTATGTCTGGAGCGCACATGTGTGTGTTGCACGTCACACACAGCACAGAAGCTAATGATTGGACACAGAAAGATGCATGACTGACTTTACTCACAAGTAGGCTGCACCCAAACAATCCATAAATCTGTGGAGTCTCAGAGAATCTCAACCACTAGTTGTTCACTTGTTCACACTCATTCACAAAACGAGCAACATGTGAGCCTGGAGCTGTCTCGCCCCCCTCCCACCCAGTTCTTCCCTCTCCCTTCTCTCCTTACCTGAAAGAACATCCACGGCACAGAGATTAAATAGCTCAATTCTGGCATTTCAGCACAAAATCAAGCATGGGAACAAAAATAAAACTGTGTGAGTGAGCTGAGCTTTCTGGTCGTCCTGTGGCACTGTCTGCTCGACAGAGAAACAGACAGCAGGGACAGTTTGTGCTCCTGCACTGTGCTTGCATGAGCAAAATCCACTGCAAGCAGGCAGTCCACGAGTTAGTGCTATGAGAGCTTTGATCAGTAAGAGCTGATCAGACAGGAAAAAAAACTGTTCAGCGGGTCCATGGAAGAACAAGAGAGTGGAAGCATAGCTGAGGGAATGCTGTGGGATGCGAGGATGCGAGGCAAAGAAGCCACACTCCCTCACTCCCCCTGACTCTCCCTCATTCACTCAGTTACTGCCTTCTCCTGTATGTGTGTAAACAGAGGGAGAACGAGGTACTCTAATCCCCGCCTCCTTCCAAAAATGCCTAAAAATAGCAGCCAATCAGGTGCTTGCTGCAGCAGAGGCTGGCAGAGACGGAGGTCCCTCATTGGCCGAGAGATGCACAAAGTAGGCGGGGCTGTGTGTGTCGGAGGCGGAGGTTGCGTGAGACACCATGTGCACCAAGTTTGAACAAGATATGAAGGAAAAGCTTTGAATGGATTGTGTGTGTGTGTGTGTGTGGGGGGGGGGGGGGGGGGGGGGTGATTTCATTCAAGTAGCCAAAAATACAAACAGAACACCCCATACCACAAAGATGTGGATACACTGACCATTATTATCATGAGTGTGATGATAAACAGAGAATAAATAAATATTCTTATACAGAAATATGCTCAAAGCTGGCTGCATAATGAAAACAATATGTTACTGTGGGAAAACATGCAAAAACAGACTGTGATGGCACATTACAGTCACACATTTTGGTGAGAAAAAATGAGTCAATTTTCCTCAGTTTGGTTAACCCAGCTTTATATTTGTTACATTACAGTTAAACCATGTTTTGGAGCTGATTCAAAATATTAAAAGATAATTATGATTGTCTCATTATGTGAATGAAGGACAGGAAGTCACAGTTTACTTTGTTGTATACTAAGTACCAAGTCAGTGTTGGTGAAAAACATTGTAAAAAATGTAAAAAACATTCTGAATGCGGTGTAATGAGCATTTCCTCATCTGAGCTGTTCAAGCATAAATTTTTTCAATGGTCCAGAGAGATCTCACTCTTCCTCAAAGACACTTTCAGGGGTCATTAGGGATCTACTCTAAACAAAACCCTTCGATAAGGTCATTGGCCATGCAGAAACGATGTTCGCTCCCATGTATCTGCCTTTGTTCCCAAGTGCCAGCATGGATAATTCTTCCCCACTGACTGAAGCTGCTCATTGACTGATCTGCAGCAATGGGGGGAGTGGGTGGGTGGTTGGGTGGGGTGGTTAGTGTGTATGTGTGTGTGCAGGGGGTCTTGCCTCCCACAAAACTCTGCTGCCGCCACGTGAGCGTGTGGCATGTGTAATGGTATATATATCCGAGTAGGCAATGTATGTGACAGGAGGCAAGGCGGGCGATGTACATGTATGTGATGGGAGGAAGAGTGTGTACGCGTGTGTTAGTATGAGGAGCACGTGTATGTTGTGTGGGCGGTCTAATCATGGAATCACATGAGCTCCGGGATCTCGTCTGAGAAAAGAGGAGGAGAGGAGAGGGATACGTGGAGGAAGGATGGAGGGGGTGGGGGGTGGGGTGGGGGGGGTGAGGGTGTGCCATTTCATCTTCATCTCCCACTACCTCATTCACATTTTTCTGCACAAGTGGGGGGAAGGGTGTGTCTGTAGGTCTAGTCTCTATATGCATGGTTGAAACCATCCCGCTCATTCATAGAATAAGCCTCTCTCCCATCGGATGGGAGATTCTATTCATATTTTCATGATGGATTCTCTGTATTAGTGAGCTTTCAGATTTGTTTAGGGATCAGTGGAGACTAACTGCACTTACAGCGTATCACACACAGTCCCCGGGCTTAGTGTTGTACTTGGAGCCCATTCTAATTTGGGCAGAAAACAGCTGTGTGGAGCCGAAGATTCCCATTATTAACATGCTTTATGTATTATTTTTATTTTCCATTCTAATAAAAATGCTGATGTATTTCATCTCAAAAGGGAAACACTACTTCAGTTAAATGACTGAAGTAGTAGAAGACTGTTGAATTTTGCCTGCTTAGGTCTCATCTGAAGCAGCCGTTGCAGTGACGTGAGATAGCAACAGTGCATCTACTGTAATAGGTTTTACTCTGTGATGAACATCAAAATATTTTCATATCATTTTTTATTGGAAATATGTTCTTGAAAATCTGCGAGCTTTGACCTCACTGAGTTCAGGGTCATCTACTGTACCGTGTTCATGGAGTTAGAATCTGACTACCTAGAAATGGCAACAAGATGCACATAACTTATAAAATCCTTCAGGGGGGTGAATCACAGTACAGATTAAAGTGAGTGCACTGCAACCTTGCATTGAACCTAGCTATATTAAATGTTGAACGGTGAAGCAGTGTGTATCTGCCTTTCATCCGCCTACAGGTGTGTATGTTCAGTGAATCCCTCTGTGGCCTACCCGAGTGTCTAACTGTGTTAGTGTTGTGTATTATGTTGAAGTACCTTGTTTGAAGCCATCTCGCTGACAGAGTGTCGAGTTTTCAGCGTCTCTAGTTGTTCCAAACACCAGTCCAGCTCATCTAGAGTCTCTATGGCCAGCTGCTGGTGAGGCTCCTCTGTAGCAGATAAACACAGGAAGGCATTATGGGGATGGATTCAGCTGTTAGAGAGCATTCACACACTGGTCAAATTTCAAAAAGAGTTTTAAACTGGAACTCAAATTGGGCTGTAAACTTACTGTTCTTGTTTGAGAACAACTGGTCATGAATAAATGTTAGATTTCATCAGTGAAGAAAGTAGTTTAAGGTACTTTACTTGAGTATTTACACTTTATACTAACTTTTCTTTTCACAGGTTTAGTACATCATGCTGATAAAACTTACATACTTTTAACTAAGATTTTACTTGTAAAGGAGTATTCTGACATTGCGGTATTGATACTTTTACTTAAATACATGATCTTAATACTTACCTCCACCTCACTTTAATCACTGTGATGTGTTACTACTAACCCAATTTACAAAGTTAAGCATGATAATGTTCTTGCTGTTCTGTGTGTTTCTGATCAATGTTGATTATAGGATATCGATTTGTAAAAAGCCTAATACCGGTACCGACCTGCAAGGCTGGTCTTGCACATGGATGGCGGATTGCTGCCTGAGGATCGCGTCCTGTAGACAGAGATCAACCACAGTCAGCAAGTACAAAGACATACTGTTACTACAGCAGGATTATACTCCTCAGGTGTGATGGTGAGATGCGACATTTTCTAAAAACCCACTTGCTGGCTGTGCGATCTTGCTGGCCGGTTATGACGGCAAAGTTACTTCGGACTGTCCTCAGGCTGGCGAGGACCTACAGGAAAGGAACAAGAGACTGGATGTATGAGTTGATCAAATATGACATACATGTACATCACATTTGTGACGTAATGAAACCACAGATGTCACTTCAGTGATAGCCTTAAATACTTGCACATGCCTTCACTTAATTCATCTTGAGCTACATCAAATTATTCGCAATATGAATCACAGACGAGCTTTTGAAATCAGACACTGAGGCTGTCATCCTCCTAGCTGAAGCGCTACACAGAGGCATTCCCCTCTCCCTTTCTCATGTTTTGATGGCATCACTGACACTCCTCTATGTCACGTCTGTCACCCCATCTGCAGCCAAACACTGACTCAGCACACGGAGAAAGCTCATGGAGTATCCGGTGTCCAGACCTGAACCATGTACATGCCTTATCAGCCAGCATGCAAATTTAAACAGCATGATCCAGCAGTATTGGATTTACTGCTTCTCTCTCGGTGTAAAGTGAGCACAAGTGTGACGCACATCCAACGTAAGAGCCAGGCAACACCAGAGGGACGACTGATCCTGTCGCAGGGCCAACATAACGCTAAGGGGCTGTTCCAGTGGAGCAGTAAAATACAGTCTGGTACCATCTAGAGTTTATCATTTTCTTTAAGACCTACAAAGGAATATAACTTCCAAAAGCTAGATGCAAAGGTTTCGGGAAAACTCACCTGCGCGAATGGTGTAACAATCATGTCTTCTGTGTGGCTGCAATACAGAACAGAACACACAGAAGGAACAGGCATCAGACAAAAGCATGAAACACTGACTAGAGGACCAATGTATAAACTTAATTTTAATAATGCATCTGTGTTAAATAAAAAAAGGCTGAACTTAACTTTGTTAAGACGAAGTAAATAAAAAGGAGGCATCACTTCTAGTTTTCTAAAACCTGAAGCTGTGCTGAGCTGGAGGACATAATTAGTTATCATATTTACTTGTCTGATGTCCTCATTCATCGCTCAGTCATCATTATTCTGTAAAAGTGTAACTATGTCAAGAAGCAAATATGTCATGCACTGCGTATAATAAGGTTGGTGAGGAAACGGACTGGGGTAGGTAGAAGGGTGGGTGATGTAGGTATGAACTGGTAAATACTCACAAGTAAATAAAACCACAGAGTGTGTTATCATACTTGGTTGGTTTTGATTAAGCATCACATGCAAAAACAAATCAAACAGAACTGGGTGTTTGAAGGGGGGGGGGGAGGGGGGGCGTCTAACAAGGGTCACAGGTGAGGTGTTTGATATTTTAGTCACGCTTGTCAGGAGGGAGGTGGGAAATGGCCATGAAAGCATCTAGAGGGAATGCAGGAGAGGACGTCAAGGGGACAGAGTCAGTGTTTTTATCTAATTCTTGTTTTATCATGTTCTTCTCACCGAGATGACAACCAGTTGACCTCCCAATGCTTCAAGCTTTCTTCCCTTTAAAAACAGATAGGCAAGAGTCGATGAGGACACCTGTGACTGCTTACTTTACAAACGTAAAGGTGTTTAGACAATATGAAGTGGAGGGTTGGGGGGAGAGTCTTGCTTGGGGACATAATTGAAACAAAAATAGGAAAAAAAAAATGAAACAACGAACAAAAAAAGTAGCCCCATCTTTCCAACGGTTTGCAGTCCCAGTGAAGCAGATTCCACATGCAAACATTTTGTGATGGAAAGAACAGCTGCTTGTAGTTTTGTTGTTTTTTTTCGAGACTTTAGATCTGACTGTGAATATTGCAGACATATGCAACATGCAGCATGTTTCAAAACTGGCTTTGAGATTGTAGAAATTGAAATACTGGGACAACAAATTCATCAAAAGTTGCTCAAGGTAGACCCTTCTTATCAGTCCTCCTGTCAGATATAAGCACATGCACAGAATAGATTTGAAACATCAGTGAACAAAGCCATGAAAGAGAGAGCACAGCACCTAAACTGAAGCCCTTTGGCTTCAGAGGTCTCTCTAGCAATCCAAAGAAAATGCCAAAGAGACTAGTTTCAAATTTGCAAATGAAGTTTGCAACTGTTTGCTGCAGCTTGTAAGGGAGCCAACTATTAAATCAGAGCACGGTATGAGCCCTCCGATGGAGAAACCTCTCCGCACAGGAAAGACAGACAAGTAGGGAAATACATAAACAGACATGTCTTTTTTTTGTTAAAGAGCGATTTGCAGACAACAAACACGTGTAATCTTACACTGGTATCAAAGCGTTAGCAAAGTCTGAGACATCTGATGCTACATTTGTGAATACAACTGTATATACTTAGATTCAGGAGTGGATATATACAGTATATTAATTCATCTTTACACCTAAAGCACAGTACATAAGACACTGCTGACACTGATTTAGAAGACTTTAGCTCTGCATGACTGAGGTTTCATTGATTGATTCATTGATTGATTGACTATTCTTAGGGGTGTAAATGAAGGAATAAATCAAGGAAAACATATTTTGTGTAAAACCTATTCTGCTAAACACACAGCAGCACATAAACCATTGTATAATATGCATTAGAGTGGCTCATGTTCACAAACAAATACATCAACAGTATCGCCGCGTGGAGCAGCTGGGTTGGAAATGAACTTACAGGTCACTGGCAGTGGAGGAGTTTCTGGAAGGACCTTTGGGTGAAAGGTCAAAGTCAGAGTCAGAGCGGTACAGGAAGGATTCCCGCCGCTGGCTGTGGGGAAAGTTGGCCTGTATGACCAGACCAGATCCAGGGCTGGCCTGGGGGTCGAGGGGGCTGCGGCCCACCGACAATCCATTCTCCACATCAAAACTATGGAGAAAGAGAAAGTGAGGGAAGTTATTGAGGCTAGATGACAAATCTCTGACGTAAAAACAAACATGCATGATTTTGGAAAGGAAAAAAAAGAAGCATCCATCCATTGTAATTGTTTATAGCGTCAACACTGTGATTAAAAAATACATTGAGTGACTGGTCATTACAATTTGAGCTGCTACTGTGGTGTCCTCTGGAGCAAATTAGTTTCAGTGATTGCTGCAGGCACTAAGAATGTAATAGTGAGACAAGTAAACGGATCAATGAGGACAAATTCATAGACTTCAGATTTCAACTGGTGTCACCAAAATTGTTAGAGACTGTTAGACTGTCCAATGGACTCTCTTGAAAAGGTAGACATAGTAGAGTACAATCCCAGTCTCTACTCCAGATAAAAGACTGGTCCCTGCTCCAGTAACAATGAAAGGGAGAAAATGAATATAAAATACAATACTCCACATCTAAAAATACCTCAAGCTTTCATCACTGGGTAACAACATTGAGCCATTTTTATCTCTTGAACAGGAAATAGTGTAATTTAGAAGGAAGTGTAACCATTATAAACCAGTAAAGACCACAATAAGAGCTAAAAGTTACAGATATAAGAGGGCGACAAAAAGGATATGACAGTGTGAAATATGTGGGAATGCCATTATCAAATCTGATCTGATATATCCCACAAAGTAGACTAAAATCAGAGCTGTGTTCAAATTTATCTAACAATGGGTGATAAGAAAAAAACCCCCCAACAACATTACACTGAAACCACAATGAGTGGGTGTTGAGAGCCACAGACAGTGAATGGCCTTTAATCCTGATGGTTACATGTGTGCCTTCCTGCTGTAGCTGGACTGATCATTAGGATAACATACTTGAAATGAATAGTGAAAACAAAACTGTTACTGTGCACCTCATTAAAAGTGTAAAGTCTGTGTGGCTAATGTCATGCAGGTGAGGTATGAGTGTGAATATCCAGGGGAGGTCTGCATGTGTGTGTGTGTGTGTGTGTGTGTGGTGAGGGACTGCGAGTGAACAGCCCGTATAAAATAAGCATCAGCGTATTGACGTAGGGTCATGTGAGTGTGAGTCTAAAAATAGCCCGGTGTTCAGGTGAGGAGGAGTTCCTCCTGATCAAACACGATCCGACTATGGAGAAAAACACCAAATAAAGGCAGAGAGAGGCCCTCCTTCACAGTCTGGGCACGTTTCTGCCTTGATCCACATCTCTATTTTCCCACAGCCCCTCTGCTGACATGTGAACCCGGAGAGACTCTGTCAGGCTGCAGCCCCGCTTAGCAACACGTCTTCTTTTCTTAACAGTCTGAGGAACTCCAGAGTAGAAATCCACGCTTTGGAAAAACAACCAGAACGTGGAGGATTTTGGATGGGCAGATGCTAAGCCACACACTTGATATTTTTCAAATAAATACAGCAGGGGAAACGATATTCAAAAATAAAAATCTCTGAAACCCAAGGCAAACAAAAACTGGAGTTTGGGGTACAGGAGTGGTAGATAGAGATGTCTGTTGATGATAAGTGTGGGAAATAATAAAACACAATACCAAAACACCATTACAGTCACGAACACATGACAAATTTCGGGCCAGAGCACTGAATAACACAGCTCTAAATGCACTGTGCAGCCGTGTATGGTCTATATATTACAGCCTGTAGTCTAAACACCACACAAGAGGAGTCCTCTATCACAGCAGACATTTCGTACTTGAGCACATTAAGGGTTTAGTCCCATTAAGCGTCCCAGTAAGCCATGCTAATAAGCCAATATGCACAATACCAAAGCTGTGAAACTGGCAAACCTAAATGGAATGCAGCCCTCGTTAATGTCATTAATTACACCTGTGCGTTTCATACTATCACCTGCATGCAGGAATTTGTCTCTACTGGCATTCTGCAGTTCAGCCCTGATGGCTGTAAATCATTCAGCAGATACCTCAGTGTCAATGGGTAGCATTAACTGCTGACACAATTACGAGACCAATTGAGTAGTTGAATGACAAGTAATTCATAAACAGCAATTTTTATAAATGATTAACTGCTCAGGTAAGTATGTGAGGAGTCGCTACTTTCCTGTACTTTATAACATTTTAAATGGAATATGTTTTGGTTTTGGATTGTTGCTCTGACAGAACTAATAACTCTAACGTAACCTTTGGCTTAGGAAACTTGTTGCGACATTTTTCAGTATTATATGCCACTTCATAAAGATTCAGTACAATAAATAATAGATTAACTGGTAGTAAAAACAAGACTAAAAGTTTATTACACTGGCACAGCAGAGCTAAATGCTAACAGGAGCATGGTAAAATTCTCACAATGGCAATGCTAACATGCTAATGTTTAGCAGGTGTAATGTTTACCATGACCACACCAAGACTTGCTATTTAGCACACAAAGCAGCTGAGGTTGATGGAAATGCAATTAGTCTGACAGTTATTTGGTCATAAACCAAACCGCAGCAACTTTCCCCAGAAGCCAGGAACCTTTTGAGGAACTATGTGTGTTTCGACCACAGAAACCAGGGTCTAAATTTAGTTCCGGGGTAATTGATCGACCCCCAAAAAAATACCTGGTCCGGGGGTAGTACTTTCCAAAGGTTCAGGAACTTTGGGGGGGTGTGGTCTGCAGTGCTGAACATTTGTGACTGGTAGAGTACACGCTGCATTTTATTTCACCCGTGATGTTTAAAAGTCCGCAGCGAGAAAGCGAACACATTTCCCACACAGCAAACCGGGGGGGGGGGGCTGAAACAAGACTTCAAAAGAATAAAGGACCACAACAACCAGAGTGGCTAGACTTGCCACCTGTAAAGTATAATATGGGATCATCCTGTATTTGAAAATAAAATGCTGCGTCCTGTATGAATGAATAAGGGACGCGAATTGTCCTTTCGTTCATATTATGTCCCCAAAGTGCTGTGAATAATGTAATGTCAAGAAATAATTTTTCATGATCTTCCCGGGACTTTAGGCTGCGGTGGAAACGCAGACAACAATGGACCACAGGAACCTCTAGTTCCTGAAGAAAAGTACCTGGAACTCAATGTTCAAAAAAGTACCTGAGACTAAAAGTACCTAGAACTAAAAGTTCCAGGTACTTTTTGGTTGAAATGCATCTTAAAATTCAAACCCGATGAAGGTGCTATGTGGAAAGTACCAAATTTCATGGTAATCCACACATACAAGAGTTTTCAAAATATTTCACTCTGAAACTGCAACTGTCAATCTTAAGGTGGAATCAGGGGAACACTAAAGTCATTCAGTCAAAGTTTGGTGCCATTCCATCCAAAAGCGGTGGACTGATTGATCAGTGCCATTTTTGGAGCCATGCCACTAGCTTTCATAGCATTAATACATAAATTTGATTTCAAGCAAAATACAGCTCGAACAGTAGGAATGCACCAACTGCAGCATGTACAAATCCCATTCATTGCTCTTTCCTGTTACCCTCCCAGGATGCTGCGTGAGAGCTAGACATTGGTGTGTTACTGGCTATTACGTAACTCCAGCCGAACAGAAGCCCCCATCCCTCCATTCATGTGACAGATTCAGACTTACTGACTGCGCTATACATAGCCAAGGAGAGGAGTCGAGAGGATAGGAGTGGGAGGGAGTGGGGACAGCAGGGTAAAGGGGGGTAAGAGAGAGCTAGGCTGAGGTAAAATAGGGCAAAGAGAGAGCGAGTGTAAATACTATTTCAGAGGAAGAGAGTACAGCCTGTTCTGAGACATGTACATGAGGACTTTTTGGTCTTAACTGCACTGCACACTGTGTGACTGGAGCTGTTTGGGTTGAGTTGGTGGGGTGCGTGCCTGCAAATGTACAAATGTGTATTTAACCATGTATTTAACCTTGTATGTGTGTGTGGGGGCGTTGTGTCACAGGTGTGGATGAATCAGTTTTGATAGAAAAACGGGGAATTTATGTGTGTATTAATGTGCATCACAGTCATGCAACGTGCCACCTTACACACCTATAATGTGTCCATTTTGATCTGTAAGCACATGCATCCCTGTTACTACAAGAGCACATGTAGTCTCACCCACTCCTCACTCTTTAACTCTCCCATTCTCTCCATCTACCTCGATCTGTCCTCTCTAATGATGCTGCACCCCTGGCTGTTCCTGCGTGCTCTGACCATAAACCCGTTTCTATTTTAGTTTCTGCACCGTGCTTCTGTCTCTGTGCAGCTAATTTTAGCTGCACAGAGACAGAAGCGTGGGGGAATAGACCGAGAGAGGCAGCGATGCAGCTAAAAATAGCTTTTCAGGTAGAATACAGAGTTCTCCCCCTCCCCTGTCTTCTCCCGCTGCATCACAGAGCAGCAGATTCTTCCCTCCATTCATGAATATTTATGGAGAAGTTTCTATTTGAAGCCGATGCCAAGCTAAAATTAGATCACAGATCAAAATATCGCCCACGTCTTTCCCTTGCTGCTATTTCACTTCCAGTTTTTCTCCTCTTTCTCTCTCACTCTGCTGAGTTCAGTGCAGGGGAGTGAACACAGACTCCTGACTTACTCATGACACTGGACTATTTATCTTTTATTTATACACACTCAGACACAATACTATCTATTCTTGCAACAATGTGAATGTCTCACATGATTTCCACTACTACAATTACAATGGTTTCCCTCTGGTATGTATAAATCAGATGTAATGAATAATAAACATGGTTGCATGAACACTCAGTAGTTGCCAAGGCAACTACTGAGGGGGATCCAAATAAACAATAAATTGAAACAATAATTCAACAACACATACTGTCCTTGTGAAAATTAGTTTTTGTGTCAGGGAGGTGTTGATTCAATTTTAAGCCAGTTTTTTGTTGCTGTTGGAGAAATGCATCAGATGTGTATTAGATGTGTATTTCATTATGTTTCCTGTGGTGTTATGTTGTGTACCTGCTGCATCTAGTCACATGAGGAAAATGTGATTAGATGAGATGGTCTTTCCATTAAATCACATGGAAAACAGC